TTGGTCCTGCTGACTTTGGGGGTGCTACGTCTGGGGGTGCGGGTGCACCCTCTTCGGGTCCTGGTGAGCCTGGTCGTGTTGCTGTTGGTGGTGCTGACTCTGGGGGTGGTGCGCCAGGTGCTTTGGAGGGCGGTCCCGGGGCTGCCGCAGCCCCCGACACTACTCCTCCCCCCCACCCCTACCCGACCCGGCACCAGGCTCGTGTTCGCCGTGCCCGTGAGGAGCAGCTGGAGTTGGAGAGAGAGGAGAGAGAGTTGCAGCGGCTGGAGGAGCAGCAGCAGCAGCAGCAGGAGCAGCTGCAGCAGCCGCAGCTGGAGCCGCCGCAGCAGCAGGAGGCGCAGCAGCTGGAGCCGCAGCAGCAGCAGGAGGAGCAGCAGCAGCCGCCGCATCAGCAGCCGCCGCCGCCTCCTCCTCCTGTCTCCGGTCTTCGGGCCCTCGGTCTCCCCTCCCGCTCTCCTTCCTCCTCCCCCTCTCCTCCCGTCTCGGGTCCTCCGCTTCCTCCTCCTGACCCCTCCCCGGCTGTTTTCCCTCGTTCTCAGCCTCCGTTGTCCCCTCCTCCTTCTCAGACTTGGGCCTCTCGTCGCTCCCCTCGTGCTCGTACCTCGTCTCCTGTTCTCGTTACTGACCTTCGTACTGCCCTCTTTCGTTCTAGTCCGCCTCGTTCGTCTCCATCTCTCCTTCCGTCTCCTCCTGAGTCGGCCTTCACTGCTTCTCTCTCTACTCCTGTCACTGACTACTACCGCACGTACCGTCCTGTTCTCTCTCGTGTTCTCGCCTCTCTTGTTACCGACCCTCGTGCCTCTGTCTCCTCTATCTCCGCCCTTACTGCCGCAGTCACTGAGTTTGCCTCCACTCGCCGCCTTGACTACGCCACTGGTCTTGTGGCTGCTCCTCCTACCAGTCCTCTGGCCGTCGGGGGTGAGTCTGCCCTTGGCTGTGACGCCCTAGAGGACAGGCAGTTTGAGCTAGAGTTCCTGGCAGCCGCTTCCCCACATCTCTGTGCCATGCTGCTCGCCCCTGAGGGAGACCCCGACACCCTTGACATACCGACTCCTCGCACTTACGCTGAGGCAGTGTCAGGGCCTTGGGCCTCTCAGTGGAGAGCTGCCATGGACGCAGAGATGGCCTCCTACAGATCCACAGGCACCTACGTCGACGAAGTTCCCCCCCCTGGGGCGAACGTAGTCGATGGCATGTGGATCTACAGGGTGAAGCGGCCACCGGGATCTCCTTCGGTCTTCAAGGCGCGCTACGTGGCTAGAGGTTTCAGTCAGCGCGAGGGAGTTGACTTCTTTCAGACCTTCGCGCCTACCCCGAAGATGACCACTCTTCGGGTGTTACTGCACGTAGCAGCACAGAGAGACTACGAGTTACACTCTCTCGACTTCTCCACTGCTTTCCTTCAGGGTAGCTTACACGAGGAGGTCTGGCTGCGTCGTCCCTCTGCCTTCACTGACGCTTTCCCTCCTGGGACTCAGTGGAGGCTGAGGCGGCCTGTCTACGGTATTCGTCAGGCTCCTCGTGAGTGGCACGACACTCTTCGTTCTACCCTCTCTGACCTTGGGTTCCAGCCGTCTTATGCCGACCCGTCGCTGTTCGTTCGTCGTGGCTCCACACCGTTCTTTGTTCTGTTCTACGTCGACGACCTGGTTTTCGCCACTGCTGACAGGGTTGCCTTGGCAGACGTGAAGTCCGAACTGCAGAAGAGACACACGTGCACTGACCTTGGTGAGCTGCGCCACTACCTTGGCCTGCAGATCACCAAGGACAGAGCTGCTCGCACCATTACACTCTCACAGTCACACATGGTGCATCAGGTCCTTCAGCGGTTCGAGCTTCAGCACTCCACAGTACAGCGCACACCTCTTGCTGTTGACCACAGACTTACTGGACCCTTTCCTGACGAGCCGTTTGAGTCTAGTGGTCCCTACGCAGAGCTGGTGGGCTGCCTCATGTACCTGATGACTTGCACTCGCCCGGACCTCGCCTTGCCTCTCAGCATCCTTGCTCGCTTTGTTGCGCCAGGGAGACACCGTCCTGTTCACTGGACGGCAGCTGTGAGGGTGGCGAAGTACTTAGCGACGACATCAGGCGTGGGGCTAGTTCTTGGAGGGCAGCAGCCTGTCGTACTTACTGGTCACTATGACTCTTCTTACGCTGACGACGCTGAGACTCATAGGTCTACTCAGGGGTACTGTTTCAGCTTGGGTTCTGGAGTTGTTTCGTGGCGGTCCACGCGCTCCTCTTTGGTCTCGACCTCTACAGCTGGACTGAGATCTACGCTGGTGCCATGGCGGCACAGGAGCTGCATTGGTTGACCTTCTTGCTCGCCGACCTTGGTGAGCGGCCGAGCTCTGCACCGACCTTGTTCACTAACAACAAGGCGTCGATTCTCCTTTGTCGAGAGCCGCGACTGGAGAGCAGAGTGAAGCACATTAACGTCAGGTACTTTCTTCTGCGAGAGTTGCAGAGACGTGGACAGGCTCGCTTCGAGTTTGTGGAGTCTGAGGCCAACACTGCAGACATCTTCACCAAGGCGCTTCCGCCTTGTGACCACCAGAGGTGTTGTGTGCAGTTAGGCCTTGTTGACACAGTTTCTAGTCGTGTATAGGCTTGAGTCTACTGTTTGCTTTGCTTGTACTCTTGCTATACACACTTGTGAACTCTCGAACTGGCCTTGTGGCCCCTGTTGCTTGTGCTCAGAGTATGTGGTGACGTTGTGATCCACCCTGAGCTTTGTTTCTTTGTGACTGGTCTTGTGACCGTACACTTTTGGTTTTGCTTGACACCCCTCACTTAGGCTATGGGGGTGTGTCAAATGTTGTAGCCTGTAGTGAGGTTTGTCTTAGGGGGTACAGATGTTAGGGTTTGTTATATGTACCCCAACCCACATCAATGAACCAACACTTTCATTCTTGACAGTTTCCAACACTTCTGCGGTTTGATTTGAAGCTGCCCGAAGACGTGTTGGCTGCTGGTGGAGTTACACAGATTTGGGAGAGGACTCAGGTATCACTTTAGCGCTGCTAAGCCTCTACGGCGTGTGTTACAGGAGCGGATAAATTGCTATCAGACATTGGATAAGGTCGAGCAGAGAGCATATGAAAAGGAGTTGGCAGGTGTCGTTCCGGAAGGTGCAGAAAGTAATATCTTTGCTGAGTTATTTTTGGGTACCGCCTGTCCTTGTGTTAGCATGCGTTTTTTACTAGATGCTCTTGGGTGTGAGTTTGTTATAATATATTATTTAATTTGATTGTGCTGGATGTTCTCTGTTGTTGCCATTGAATAATCCATCTTGTTGCTTACATAGTTTGCGAATACACGAATTTGCTGGGTGGCTCCAGCACCACACGTGCTGCTGATGTGTCAATGATTGCAGTGTGGAAACTGGAGGTCACGAAAGTTTTCGCTCACCACGTTTCTGAGGAAATAGCCACATTTCAGGTCTTCGTTTTTCGCATAGCCAGGTTTGCTTTCCCTGTCCAGCAGGAAACCTATTCGTGCGAACGATACTGCCATTGCGTGCGAAACCGGTCACCTGAAACAGTAGATGCAGGTTGCCATCTTGCATCACCCAAACGTGGAATCTGCGGGGTCCACGCATTTCCAGCTCTCCAAACGCGGCGCGTTGAAAATGGTGTACCTACTCTACCGAACCGCATGAATGTGCGCCGGAGTCTCCCGAGTCCCACCCAAGTCCCGACACATTTGTTCTTCGCGCGGTTCGGCCTGCCCTCGATTTATCCTGCCTGCACATTTAGGTTCCCACATTTTTCCTGCCTGCACGAACCTCTTTCCATCTCAGCTTTCCTCGATTGTGCTGGAAGGTACTGATTGCCTCGATCGCTTTCGCCCTTCGTGCGTTTCCAGAACGGTCGTAGCTGGAATTCTTATCACCTACCATGGCTGCTGGTGATACGCTTCCTGGGACAGGCTGGTTTGCCAGCGGGATTAACACCGCCCAAAATCTCTCCCCGAATTCAACGGCATCAGGCGGAGTATTTCGCGCTGCGTCACGCCTCGTCGACTCTTCAAGCTTAGTACTAGCCGACTCGCAATTTATCATCACCGCTGTTGTCGCAACCGTCGCGGTTCTCGTTTCCACTTCCTGGCTCTCCTTCCTCCGCCGCCGTCGCTCCCTCCCCCCCGGCCCTTACCCATGGCCCATCCTCGGCAACCTCCCGGACCTGGGACTGCTGCCTTTCCGCTCCTTGGCGAAGCTGGCCGACAGGTACGGCCCGAACCTGACCGTCTGGTACGGTTCAACGCCGTCAGTGGTGATCTCGTCGCCAGAGCTCGCTCGCGAGGTGCTTAAAACGAATGACAAGCTCTGCTCGTCTCGCCCAATGAATCGAACATTGGCGATTCTCTCACTTCACGCCAAAAACATCGTGTTTTCGCCACCCAACGACCGTTGGCGAAAGTTGCGACCGCTGGCGACGCTCCACCTTCTTTCTGCGAAGAAACTGCAGGAGAGCCTTCCCGTGCGAGAGGAGGAGGTTCGCGGCATGCTCGATGCCATCGCTGCTGACGTGGCTAGAACTGCTGACGAATCTGCTGCTGACGCAACAACCAGAACTTCAGCCGTGACTAGAACGGATGCTACTACTATGAGAGAAACCGCGAGATCTTCCGCAGCGGCGGAAGAGGGGATCATAATAGAAGTGCGCAGGTATTTAAATCGCGCGACGCTCAACAACATTATGCGCGTGACTGTCGGGAAGCGCTTCGGTTATTCGTCGATTCGCGGCGCGGCGAGCACCACGCTTCTCGACGCCGGGATTCGTATCGACTGGAACGCGCGCATCGACGTAATAAGCGGCGAGAAACGCGGCAATGAGATTCGACGCGGCGCTGTCGACGACGCGGCTGCAGCTCCAGCCATTGCGTCTGAAGCTTCGTCAGCGCCTGAACAAGACAGCGACAAGCTACTATCCTCTCTGACAGAGAAAGCGGATATTGGTGCTATTAGTACTGCTAAGACTAACTTATCGTCTTCAATGGAAGAAGCGGAAGGAAACATAGCGATTGCGATAATCGAGGAGGGCTTTGCTCTTGCGGGAACATTCAACATCGCGGATTTCGTGCCGTGGCTAAGCTACTGGGACCCGCAGCGCATATACGCGCGCACGAAGCGCCTCGTGCCGCAGCAGCACGGGTTCATGCGCGCGTGCGTCGAGGAACGACGCGAGCTCCTACTGAAAACGAGGACAGGGTTTGAAAAACCGGAGGAGTTGAAAACGCGGACAGGGGGACAGGGGGAAAACGCGGACGTGGTTGAAAAGCCGGAGGGTTCGTTGAAGGGACACGAAACGGCCCTTGTCGATGCTTTGTTCGAGATTGAAGGGGAGGGAGAGGATCAAGTGGATAAAGACGAGATGCTGATGCTCGCAATTGATATGATGATGGCTGGAACTGATACCACCTCCAAGACCGTGGAATGGGCGCTTGCTGAGCTGGCGCAGCACCCCGACATGCTGGAAAGGCTCCGTGCTGAGGTGGATGAGGCGTATGCCAGGTCAGCAACGGCAGCCGCCGAAACTGGGGCGGCTTCAGGAGGAGGATCGGATCTTATGGTCTCTCTTCCGGTAGCGGAAATGCCGTATCTACAGGCTGTTCTAAAAGAAACACTTAGGCATCACCCGGTTGCTCCATTCCTCGGTCCCCACATAACAACTGGCAGCGTAATTCTAGGTGGTTACCACATCCCGCCCAACACCATGATCCAGATCAACGGCTGGGCTCTCGCGCACGATCCAACGGTCTGGATCAACCCGCACGAATTTGACCCCTCCCGGTTTCTTGACCCTGCTGCCCCTGGCATGACTGGGCAAAATTTCAGCCTGCTGCCCTTCGGTTCGGGCAGGCGCGGGTGCCTTGGGACGAATATGGGATTGGACCTCTCTGCCCGCCTGCTGGCGAATTTGGTTCTGCGGTTTGATTTTGAGCTGCCCGAAGATGTTAGGGCAGCTGGAGGGATAGACATGACGGAAACTTTTGGGCTGACCATGGCTCTGGCAAAGCCACTCAGGCTTGTGGTGAGGGAGAGAAAGGCAGTGCCGGGGTTTGCAGGAATGGCGGCAGTGGGTGCGACAGCTGTGACTGCAGTAGCCTGAGCTGGCTTTTATATCTCAGAAGTGCTTTGCTTTGCACAAAAGATGTAGGACAGAAAGACAGGCACGGGAAGGGATAGAAAGGCCACTCAGGAGTTTTGTGGCCACACTTGTGCTCGCTGCCAGGTTTGAGCTGTAGGGGGAGTACCAGTGGGTGCAGTGGGAGTTCCAGTGGGTGCAGAGGAGTTCCAGTGGGTGCAGAGGAGTTTCCAGTGGGTGCACTGGGAGTTCCAGTGGGTGCAGTGGGAGTTCCAGTGGGTGCAGGGGAGTTCCAGTGGGTGCAGGGGCTTGAGCTGGATTATTCAAAAGAGCTTCGCATATACCTTCAAGTAAGGCAGGGAGATGAAGGGAGAGAAAGGTCGTAATGGCACATTCATTCCAGTTTTCATTCAAGCCTTCTCTGCAACCTGTCAATGGCTTGCTTCATGCATCTTGAGTTTTATTTTATTTGTGTGTATGCTCTTTCGTCCACTGCTGCAGGTCTACAATATATATACCGGTATATTTGTGTATATGTTTTCTTCTTGTTTGCTTTGTTTCTAAGATTGACAATGATACCGTGTTAAGGATACATCAACCCACAATCCTGTGTTACAACCACACAACAAAGTGAGCACATGGAGTCCTTCCTGATCTAGAAGCTTGGTTGGAGAGATTGTATATTGCTTGTCGCTATTGCTCATCTCCGCATAGGTGCGCCTTTTCTAAACGAATGTGCTGAAAGCAGCACACATGTGGTCGGCGAAAACGGACACATATCTTCGCACTCCAAAAGCTTCCACGAAAGTGTCGCTTACCTCATCCTGTCGTAACGACGGTTTTCGTCTTTCTCGCCTAGTCAGGCTTGCTTGCCCTGTCCAGCAGGGAACGATTCATGCGAACGAAACTACCCTTGTGTGCGAAACCGGTCACCTCGTCATAGCGTGCGAAGCTGGACACCTCATCACTGCAATTTGCGGTTCGGCATTCCCAGCCTTCAACCCTGCAATCTGGAAATCAGGACGCGGCGCGCAGTCCCACGGCAAATGGAAATGGCTTCACAAAGAATGCCACAATATATAAATTTTGCGCCGCACGCTTTGCTAACCCCGTACCATAGTAAGACTTGCTTTTCTCTCGACAATTCTGTCTCTCCAGATCTAGCTTAGCTTTCTTTCTTGCAACTGCCAAGTACTGATTCAGCCTCACATTTCTCGCACTTTTCTGCGCTCTTATACCAGGCGAGCAGGCTCTGCCGAAATGGCTGCCGCTGATGCATTTCCTGGGACAGGATTGTCTGCTAGCAAATTCAACTCGACCCAGCAGCTTTTCCCTGGCCCAACCTCTTCAAGCCGAGTCGACTTTTCAAGTCTGGTATCAGCCGACTCGAATTTTATCATCACAGCCGTGATCGCAGCCATCGCGGTTCTCATTTCGACTTCGTGGCTTTCATTCCTTCGCCGCCGTCGCTCCCTCCCTCACGGCCCTTCCCCATGGCCCATCCTCGGCAACCTCCCGGACCTGGGACCCTTGCCTTTCCGCTCCCTCGCGAAGCTGGCCGACAGGTACGGCCCGACCATGACCGTCTGGTTCGGTTCCACGCCGTCAGTAGTGATTTCGTCCCCGGAACTCGCTCGTGAGGTGCTTAAAACGAAGGATAAGCTTTGCTCGTCACGTCCGCTTCCTCCCACCGTGGCGATGCTCACTCTCGACGGCAAAAACATCGCGTTTTCGCCAGCCAACGAACACTTGCGAAAGATGCGACGGCTAGCGACGCTCCACCTTCTCTCTGCGAAGAAACTGCAGGAGAGCCTTCCCGTGCGAGAGGGGGAGATTCGCGACATGCTCGACGCGATCGCTACTGACGTTTCTGCTGCAGATGTGACTAAAACGGGTGCTACTACTTCTGTTAGTAGCTGTGCTGCTGCCGGTGCCGCGAAATCTGCCGCCGCTGCAGACGAGGGGATCGAGGTGCGAAGGTATCTGAATCGCGCTACGCTGAACAACATTCTCCGCCTTGCTGTCGGGAAGCGCTTCGGCTATTCGTCGATTCGCGGCGCGGCCGGCACCACGCCAAAGGCGATTCTCGATGCCGCGATGCGCATCGACTGGAACGAACGCATCACCGCAATGAGCGCCGAGAAACGCGGCGGCGGGTTCCGCGGCACTGCCGACGCGGCTGTCGCAGCTCCAGCTATGGGGAATGAGGCTTCGGCATCAGCGGCAGAAGAAAATTGGAGGTTACTATCCCCCCTGACAGAGGACGTGCCGGAAGTTAACCCGTCGTCTATGACAGACAAGGCGGAAGGCGAAGTGGCATTTGCGATTATCGAGGAGGGTTTTGCAGTCGCAGGAGCATTCAATATCGCGGATTACGTCCCTTTGCTGAACTACTTGGACCCGCAGCGCATGTACGCGCGCGCGCAGCGCCTCGCGCCACAGCTGCACGGCTTCATGCGCGCGTGCATCGAGGAGCGACGGCGGATCGTGCTACAGAAGAATCGTGCAGATGGGAACGAGACTGCTCTCGTTGACGTGTTGTTCGAGATTGAAGGGGAGGGAGAGGATGAGATGGATAAAGACGAGATGCTGATGCTCGCGATTGATATGATGATGGCCGGTACTGATACCACCTCCAAGACCGTGGAGTGGGCGCTTGCTGAGCTGGCGCAGCACCCGGACATGCTGGAAAGGCTCCGCGCTGAGGTGGATGAGGCTTATGCTAAGTCAGCAAGTGCAGCTGCAAAAACTGGGGCGGCTCCAGCAGGAGGATCTGATCTCATGGTCTCTCTGCCGGTAGCAGAAATACCGTACCTGCAGGCTGTTTTAAAAGAAACACTTAGGCATCACCCTGTCGCTCCATTCCTCATTCCTCACCTGACAACTGGCAGCGTACCTATAGGGGGTTACCAGATCCCTCCTAACACCATGATCCAGATCAATGCTTGGGCTCTTGCACACGATCCAACGGTCTGGATCAACCCGCATGAATTTGAACCCTCTAGGTTCCTTGAACCTGCTGCCCCTGACGTGACCGGGCAAAACTTCAGCCTGCTGCCCTTTGGCTCGGGCAGGCGTGGGTGCCTTGGCACGAACCTGGGGTTGGATCTGTCTGCCCGCCTGCTGGCAAATTTCGTTCTGCGGTTTGATTTCAAGCTGCCCGACGATGTTAGGGCAGCTGGAGGGGTAGACATGACGGAAACCTTTGGGCTGACCATGGCTCTGGCAAAGCCACTCAGGATTGTGGTGAGGGAGAGAAAGCCAGTGGCAGGGGCGGTGGTGGCTGCTTCAGGAGCTTGAGCTGCGAGGGGTGCTGCATGGGGTTTAACTGGGTTGAGCTAGTTGCATAGTTACAGGGTTACCATGGCTCTGGCTAGGCCACTCAGCATTACCGTGAGGGAGAAAAAGGCAGTTATGACGGAGGTGATGGCTGCAGCAGGGGCTTGAGCTGCGTGGGCTGAGCTGGTTACGAAGTTACCATGAAGGTGTCTTTGTCCGTGATACGGTAGTTGCTGCCATGGAGTGTGGCGAGAGTGAGACAATGGCTGGTGTGGGGGAAAAAGAAGGGGTGGGGGGGGTGAAAGGAGGCTGTAGGGCACTTAAGCCAAAGCCGTGTGTGTGTGTGCGTCCCAGTTGTGTATGCAGCTGTTGAGTGGTTGACTTGTTTTCACCTTGCTTCTTGCTTGTGTGTGTGAGATCTAGCCAATGTAACAAGCTTTTTGACGGAATCAATCATCTACGGTATTGAAACATCCTGCTTCTGAGAACACAGTTTACCAATCCGAAAACCAGTTACAGTTTTTTCAAGGTGTACCGGTATCTAATCTGATGAGTTGAGAGCATATTCCACGTTGCCCTGCCCAGATACACTGGCTCTGTGCTGGAGAAAAAAGGGTATCAACACGGAGATGTTTCAACCAGAAAAAGAGGTAGTAACCGGCCTATTGCAACGCAAAGCACTGTACTTGAGCCACTCATGTGCAAGTAGGCTGTACTTCGTATCGAAGCACGCACCACTACACTCTCCACAATTCATCACAACAGAAACAGGCCAAACCAAATGCAACAACTACGAGAAGGCTCCAGTTGTCAAGAATGAAAGTGTTGGTTTGACTAGGGTTGGTTGGGGTACATAAACCTAACCCTAACAGTTGTACCCCCTATAACACACATCACTAAGACTACAACATTTGACACCAGTCTCTCACTCACGGTCCATGCTCCCTGGGTGATTTCTGATTCCACCTTGTGAAAAACGAAGCGGTGGAGAACCGATAGCCCCCTCGCTGATCCCCATCCTCCATCCCTCCCCCCTGCTGCCCCCATTGCTGCTCCTGCTGCCCCCCGTGCTGCTGCTCCTGCTGCTGCCCCTGCTGTTGCCCCCCCTGCTGTGACCTCCCTACCCCAGACCCCCCCATCCCCCCACCTGTTCCCCCTGCCCCCGCACCCCTCCCAACCTCTCTCAACCCCTTTGTAGGACTCGTCGCCTGCGCGTTTTCCCCAAGTGAAGCCAATTTCGGGCTCTGGGTTCCAAGCTTGGGAGTCTGACTCGAGACCTTCGGGCTTTGTCCAGCCACCTTGGGACTCTGTACCAGACCTTTCCCTGACACTGTTTTCCCCAGTAGCCTCTGTGCGTTTCTTGGGGAGCCCCAGGGGCGTTGGGTGGGAGGTTTTGCACCTGGTGTGGTTACACTGGGTGGGCTTATACCGGGTGATATTGATGTTGGGGAGACGAGGGGGTGAGGATAGGAGGAGGAGGAGGAGGATGATGCTTCTATCGCAAATCCTGTCGTTGTTGCTGCCCCCCCTGCTGCTGCTCCTCCTGCTCGACTTAAAGCCTCTGTTACTGCTGCTGCTGCTGCAGCTGCTGCTGATGCTTTCTCCCTGTCCCTGTCTCGCTCCCAGTCTCTATCTCTCTGTTCTCTTTCTGTGCGGCTGCTGCTGCTTCGGCCTATGCTTGCGCTGGTGAGTGTTACAGTTCTGTTTGATCCACTGCTGCTTGCAGTGATAGCAGTGCTGCTGCCACCAACACTTAGCGCTCGACCGAACCCAGACTGTGATGTTGATACCACATCACATTTATTGGAAGCCCCACCAGAAGCAGTACCAGAAACAGCAGCAGTAGCACCAGAAGCAGCAGTAGCACCAGCTGCAGCACCACCACCTGAGGTTCCTGCAGCCTTAGCAGAGTTCCGAGTGCGTGGCTGCACCTGGCGCAGCAGATAAGACAAAACGCCACCTGAAACAACAGCTGAGGAATCACCTGAATCTGCTGCTGCTGCGTCTCTAGGGGAAATCCCGGTTAACGGACTCGCATGATGGTGGTAACCATCACCGCTACCCCCACCACCAGGGTTTCCACCACCTGCGCCTCCACCAGAACCACCTCCCCCACTACCAGACAAAGCGCCCAACAACCCACCACTGCCGCCACCACCATCCTCCCCGCCCACCCCATTCACAGCCGCCGATTTGATTCCATACCCCGATTTAACCTTCTCCTGTGCAGAAGCAGGGGCGGGGGACGCGGACGCCTTAGCCCGGGGCCGGGAGCGAGTGGAGGGGAAGAGCAGGGCGAGACGAGGGACGAAGAGGAAGGTGAAGGGCGTGAGCACGAGGGAGAGAGCGGTGGTGCCCATGAGCAGGAGGTAGAGCTTGTGGCCCACTAGCTTGAGGGTTTGCGCGCGGGAGAGGAGGACAAAGGAGAACTCGCCGATTTGTGCCAGAGCGACTCCCACCGAGGCTGCTGTGCCGGTGCTGTAGCCGAATGCCCGAACCTGGTTGGTCGGTCCGGGAGGGGAAGGGAGAAAAGGAGAAAGAGACATTCTAAAGCGGAGTGCAGATCACGGAAGGTGAAGGGGGTGAGCACAAGGGAGAGAGCGGTGGTGCCCATGAGCAGGAGGTAGAGCTTGTGGCCCACTAGCTTGAGGGTTTGCGCGCGGGAGAGGAGGACAAAGGAGAACTCTCCGATCTGAGCTAGGGCCACCCCCACTGATGCTGCTGTGCCGGTGCTGTAGCCAAACGCCCGAACCTGGTTGGTTCGGGAGGGGAGAAAGAGACACTTGGTCCATGGAGAGAACAGGAGAGATATCTTGAAAAACAGAAAGATATTTCAAAAGAAAAGCTCCTCACACCCCTCACCACCCCTCATCACCGCTCGCCACCTCTCAGCAGCACTCCCCAGTCACCACCACTCACCACGAAGCCCACAAGACAGGCCTTGGAGACAAACACGACAGCAACAGCAATGAGGAGGATGTCGATGTGTTGCCAGAGGAAGAGCGGCTCTTCCCACCCCTCTCCGCCCCTCACCACCCCTCAGCAGCACTGAGACACAGGCGCACTCACCACGAAGCCCACGAGGCAGGCTTTGGAGACAAACACGACAGCGACAGCGATGAGGAGGATGTTGATGTGCTGCCAGAGGAAGAGCGGGTGCATGACCATGCCTATGCTCGCCAGGAAGAGCAGAGAGACAGAGGGAAGCAGGCGAGACAAGGCAAGGCAAGGCTTTTCACCACTCAGCAGCACACACACGAATGCACCACTCACCACAAACCCAACAAGGCAGGCCTTGGCGACGAAGACGACAGCCACAGCAATGAGAAGGATGTCGATGTGTTGCCAGAGGAAGAGCGGGTGCATGACCATGCCTATGCTCGCCAGAAAGAGCGCGGCAAAGAGGTTTCGGATGGGCTCGACTTGATGCAATGTTCGCTCGCTGTAGCTGTTGCCTGGAGGGAGGGGGATGGGTTGGGAGGATGGACGAGAGGGTTATAGCTTGCACTCCACCTGCGCGCCAGGACGAGCGCGGCAAAGAGGTTTCGGATGGGCTCGACTTGATGCAATGTGCGCTCGCTGTAGCTGTTGCCTGGAGGGAGGGGGATCGGGTGGGTGGTTGGGATGACCGAGAAGCATGTTTTTCTTGCACTCTACTTGCATTAGGGTGGAATAGGCACAGCAGAAACGGGAGCAACAGCAGCAGCAGCAGCGGGAAGCTTACAGGAAAGCAGCAGCAAACGCTCACCTGAAAGCATAAGGCCAGCCACAAAGGCTCCCACTTCGAGCGACAGTCCCAGCCCTTCAGAGAGCAGAGCGACGCACAGACACACCGCCACCACGCCTAAGTGATAGATTTCACTGTTAAACGATCCCCGCGCCAGGCGCAGCAGCAGCGGGAGGAGGGGGGATGAGGAGAGAAGGCTCACCTGAGAGCATGAGGCCAGCTACAAAAGCTCCCACTTCGAGCGACAGTCCGAGTCCCTCAGAGAGCAGAGCGACGCACAGACAGATCGCCACCACGCCTAGGTGGTAGATTTCACTGTTGAACGATCCACGCGCCAGGCGCAGCAGCAGCGGGAGGAGGGGGGATGAGGAGAGAAGGCTCACCTGAGAGCATGAGGCCAGCTACAAAAGCTCCCACTTCGAGCGACAGTCCGAGTCCCTCAGAGAGCAGAGCGACGCACAGACAGATCGCCACCACGCCTAGGTGGTAGATTTCACTGTTGAACGACCCGCGCGCCAGGCGCAGCAGCAGCGGGAGGAGGGGGGATGAGGAGAGAAGGCTCACCTGAGAGCATGAGGCCAGCTACAAAAGCTCCCACTTCGAGCGACAGTCCGAGTCCCTCAGAGAGCAGAGCGACGCACAGACAGATCGCCACCACGCCTAGGTGGTAGATTTCACTGTTGAACGACCCGCGCGCCAGGCGCAGCAGCAGCGGGAGGAAGCGGGGCACGAAGAAGCGCGCTAGCAGCCAGGCGATGAGGGCGAAGGCGAGGAGGATTAGGAGCTCTCGCAGCAGGGCGAGGAGAATGGCTGAGGCGGAGGCGGGGCGGGCGGCGAGCGCCGGCATTATTGCGAGGAGGAGGCCGAGAGCACAATCCTGGGAGATGAGAGTTCCGAGCATGATCTGAAGGGGGGGAGGGGAGTGGGGGGGAGAGGGGAGTGTGAAAGGAGAGGGGGTGTTCGAAAAAAGGAAAGGAGGAGTGGGGGGAGGAAGCGGGGCACGAAGAAGCGCGCTAGGAGCCAGGCGATGAGGGCGAAGGCGAGGAGGATGAGGAGCTCGCGCAGCAGGGCGAGAAGGATGGCCGAGGCGGAGGCGGGGCGGGCGGCGAGCGCTGGCATTATTGCGAGGAGGAGGCCGAGAGCACAGTCCTGGGAGATGAGTGTCCTGAGCATGATCTGAAGGGGAAGAGGGGAGTGTAGGGGGGGTTGAGATATGGGAAGTGGGGGGATAGGGGCGGAAGAAGGGGTTGTGGTTGCTGGGATTATTGCGAGGAGGAGCCCGAGGGCACAGTCCTGGGAAATGAGAGTTCCGGGCATGATTTGATTGAGTGGGGTAGCGGGGAGGTGGGAGTCTTGGGGGAGAGGGAAATGGGGGGTCAGGGGCGGGAAGGGAGTGAGGGTTGCTGGCAGGAGGCCCTGAGGCACTTGAGCACCACAGCAGTAGACGACATGGAGAGGAAGCCCTTTATGAACAGCCCCTGGGACCAGCACCCAACACAGCCGCACCTGCCCATGCTGTTGATATCCATGAGACACTTCAATACCACAGCAGTGGATGACATGGAGAGGAATCCCCCGATGAACAGCCCCTGGGGCGTGTTGGAGCTGATGACGCCCTTTCAAGCCCAACCAGCACCCCCTACTCCCTTCCCTGCCCTCCCCCCCCAACACAGCCGTACCTGCCCATGCTCAGTGCCCATGCTGTTGATATCCATGAGGCACTTGAGCACCACGGCAGTAGACGACATGGAGAGGAATCCCCCTATGAACAGCCCCTGGGGCGTGTTGGAGCTCACGATGCCACTTCAACCCCACCCAGCCCACCCTCCAAACACAGCCATACCTGCCCATGCTCGGTGCCCATGCTGTTGATAATCATATCTATGAGGCATTTCAACACCACAGCAGTGGACGACATGGAGAGGAAGCCCCCGATGAACAGCCCCTGGGGCGTGCTGGAGCTCACGATGCCGCCCAGAACCCTTCACAGCCCATACTCCCTGCCTCCCTTCCCACACACCCACACCTGCCACTGCTGCCTTACCTGCCCATGCTCAGTGCCCATGCTGTTAATGTCCATCAGACACTTGAGAACCACGGCAGTTGATGACATGGAGAGAAAGCCCCCGATGAACAGCCCCTGGGGCGTGTTGGAGCTGACGATGCCGCCCAGCACCATGGACAGACCGATCTGAATTATGCCGCCCGCTAGCGCCACTGCGTGCACGCCTTGCATGCGGGCGAGGCTGAATTCGACCCCGATGGCGAAGAGCAGGAAGACAACGCCGAACTGGGCTAGGGTTTCAACCTGAGGGTGACAAAAAGGGAGAGAGACGGAGGTAAGGAGTAAGTGAGAGAGCGGCCACGTGCACGCGTTGCATGCGGGCGAGGCTGAACTCGACCCCGATGGCAAAGAGGAGAAAACCCACCCCGAACTGGGCTAGGGTTTCAACCTGAGGGTGCAAGGGAGAAAAAGAGGGCGTGGGAGGGAGTGAGTGAGTGAGTGAGTGAGTGAGTGAGGGAGGGAGTGAGTGGGTGAGAGTGAGGAGGAGAGGGAGAGGAGAGCGTGCATGGACTCCCCTCCACCATCCTCCGCCCGCTAGCGCCACGGCGTGCACGCCTTGCATGCGAGCAAGGCTGAACTCGAACCCGATGGCAAAGAGGAGAAAGACTTCTCCGAACTGAGCAAGGGTTTCAACCTGGGTGCGAGGGAGGGAGGGAGAGGGGAGGGAGGTAGAGAGTAAGAGAGTGGGGGAGGGAGGGAGTGCGGGAGTGAGTGGGTGAGTGAGTGAGTGAGTGAGAGGGAGAGGAGAGGGCGTTAGGAGCATGCAAGGTCTCCCCTCTCCTCCCACAGAGCCACGGCGTGCACGCCTTGCATGCGGGCATGGCTGAACTCGACGCCGATGGCAAAGAGCAGGAAGACCACTCCGAACTGAGCTAGGGTCTCCACCTGAAAGAGTGAGAGGAAGGGGGAGTAAGTAAGAGAGAGGGAGGGAGGGAGGGAGGGAGGGAGGGAGGGAGGGAGGGAGGGAGGGAGGGAGGGAGGGAGGGAGTGAGTGAGTAAGGGAGGGAGAGAGTGAGGAGAGGGAGTGGTGAGGTGAGGCAATGAACCCCAGACCAGGCCCCTTGGCTACTCCGTCACTCCCCCAGCCCCCTTCAGATTGACATTCCCCGTCTGATACCCGGTTGCCCTAGGAGTCCACAACACAAGCTCCCTCCCAGTGCCTCGATGGGCCTCACCTCACTCACACCTCACTCACACCTCACTCACACCTCACTCACACCTCACTCACACCTCATTCACATCTCCCTTCACCTGACAAGGTCTAGTCTATCCACCTCTCCTCACCTGTACAAGCTCGTGGATAAGCCCGAACCCTCCAGGTCCTATAATCACCCCTGCTACGATGTACCCCAGAATGATGGGCTGCCCCACCAGCCCACACACCAGCCCCCCCCCCCCCCCCCCCCACCCCCCCCTTGTGGCATTCAGTGCACCAATGGGCTTCAATCACACCTCATGCCCACCCCCCGCACACCTTGCCTCACCTGCACGAGCTCGTGTATGAGGCCGAATCCACCAGGGCCAATGATCATCCCTGCAACGATGTACCCCAGAATGATGGGCTGCCCCACCAGCCCGCACACGAGCCCGGTTACCAGTGACAGCAGAGCAATGCATCCCTGTCTCACCTGCACGAGCTCGTGTATGAGGCCGAATCCACCAGGGCCAATGATCATCCCTGCAACGATGTACCCCAGGATGATCGGCTGCCCCACCAGCCCACATGCCAGCCCGCCCAGCGCCGCCGCCACAATCACCATCACCACATCCGATATAAGCATAAAGTCCTCCTGCAGCTGCATCTTCGAGCCCTTACCGGGGCTGCTTATAACGTACTCATTGTCCTGGGAGTCAATCAGCCTTGGCACATCGTTCTCCCCCTCATCCACCCTCTCCGATCTCTCCTTCTCCCTCGCCCCCCGCCCTGCTCTCTCTGCAAATCGCTTCTTAGCTGCGGCTAGCCTAGTCAGGTTCTTCGTTCGGAGGCTGGGGGAGGGCGAAACTGGGGGAGGTTGTTTCCCGCTGCTATCCCACCCAAACACCAGGTCAAACAGCGACACTTCGCTTGCCTTCACCCCCTGACTCACCACCGCCGCCACCGCTGCCACCCCTTTCTTTTTCGCCTTCTTTTCCGCTTCAGCAGCAGCCATGGCTAGAGCCACCTGCTCAAGCTGCTTCATCTTCTCCTGTGCTTCCTCTCTCTCTGCTTCCTCCAGCACTTGTCGATCTTCCTGCTCCTCCCGCTGCTCCCTCTCCTTCACCTCCTCGAGCACGTGGTGTTTACCCACCCGGGCGACTGTTTCCAGAACTGCCTCTTGTTTTTCGAGGGTTTTGTTGAACTTACCCCCCTCGTCCTCCATATCATCCAGCCTGTCAAGGATTCGTCCCACCAGCTGACCCACATCGCCGCCCTTCTCACCACTCGTCTCGTTCGTTTTAGTCACACTTGGCTTAGCAGCTCCAGACTCGCCCTCTTTTGTGGCACCAGTGTTACTGGCTGTGGTACCTGCGGTTGCCTGTGAAGCTCCGTTAGAAGCACCTGACGCGCTATGACTGGCTTCGTTACTAGCACTACCACTATCCCTGGCAACACCATCACCAGCAGCAGCCCCAGCAGCACCAGTTGTGTTCGCTCCACCACCAACACCACCAGCATTGCTTTCACTAGACGACAACCCCCCCCTCGTTTCCCCCAAGTGACTCCAATCATCGCTCCGAAACTCCCGCCTCGCCACCTGCCGCTTCCTCTCCGCCCCCCTCTCGCCCTTCTTCCTCTCCTCCTCCTCCTCCTCTTTAATCTCCTCGTCGAGATCCTTGCTTTTAAACAACCCCTTTAAAGGCATAAGCAGAGGGATATCGTCTTCGTCTAGCTGGGTCTGCGCTGCCTCTCTCTTCCCCTTCACGTTGCCTCCTTGCTGCTCTTTCCCTCCATCTCTCGAGCCTGCCCTGTCGTGCTTATCATCCCCTGTCCCACCTTCCCCTGCTGCACCTCCTACAGCAGCAGCATCGCCGTTGGAGTTGCTTCCACCGCTGCCACCGCCCCCACTGCCGCTGCCGCTGTTCTCTCTACTACCAGCCCCGTTATCCGCCGTTCCTCCACCTCCCCCTCCCGTCTCTTTCCGCGAGAGACCATTCGCGAACCCTCTCAGCCCCCCTTCCTCGCGATCTAGCCGGTCTAACGGCACAAACTCCCGCGCGATTTTTTCCCGCCGCTCCTCCCTTCGCTCCAGAACCATCCCCATTCCCATGCCCCCATGCTCCTTGTCCCTTTCCTGCTGCTTCTCCGCTTCGTCCCCGCCCATGAATCTCTGCCATAGCCTCCGCCTGAGGCTAGTGTCCTGGCTTCCGCCAGCTCCCCCCATTCCGCCATTTCCCCCCCTTCCGCCGCTTCCGCCGACCCCGCCTCCGCTTGTCCCTGCGATTTCGTTTCTGCTATCTCCATTGATAATAGACGGTAGCAAACTCTCGTTAGTGCGTCTCCACGTGAAGGTTGTTAAACGGCGAGATTGACGATTAGGGTTACTGGAGACACTAGTTGAAGGGGATTTCAGAGCAGAATCGTCATCATCTAGTATCGAAGCAGCTCTACAACGGGCGAGCAAACACGCGAGGGCAAGTATAAGGTACAATGGTCTCGACAATGTGTATATTCTATGATTCCGGTGAGAGAATAGAGAAATCCTCGTCAGATTGGTACAGCTTCGAGACATGTCATCTGCGAGCGCTTATAGCGAGGATCCAGTGCACTCTAGGTCGGAATGGAAAACGATCCGTCGCATGCGCAAGCGGACGATAGTATCTTCTCCACTAAGGCTTCACAGCACCTCCCATTGCGAGGAGAATGCGAGGGGTGACATACGGACGATAGGAACCGGGAAGAACCGGGACCAACCGGAAGCAACCAGGAGCTTGACAATGACGTACCTAAGACTGAAACAGCCCGGGACTTATGGGGGACTTAGTGCGTGGCCTAGTCCGACACGCAATTCAGGAAGCTAAAAAGCCAAGACATCTAGTAGCTTGTCCGCGTTTAAGGACCAGTCGTCCCGAAGTGGCGTACAGCCATTCGGTAGTCGCTGTCAGCTGGAGGTAGGTTCACAAATGCGATTAACAACACGTAAGAATGACGTAAATCGAGGCGAGCTGCTGACAGGACGGCAAATGATAATGTTTGCTGGATGCTACTAATGAATCTGTCAGACAAATCGCCGTTTTGTGAATGGAGCTTTCCGTTTTGCTGTCATGTGTTCACTGTGGATGAGCTTGGGTCCAGATTCCTTGATTCTTCGCAACAAAAGCAGCTTCGTTAAAGCTTCAGTATACATTTGTTCACCTCGATAGTGAACATACACATTCTAGTGCCTTCGACGTTCTAAATCTAACAATCACACATTATACCTTTCTGAAGTTCTGATGATTCAATTTGGAGTGAAATTACTGCTATTACATCTCAGAATATGAATTAATTCCAACCATGCTAATTTCTTGGCACCAATTGAGAAACGTCCAGCAAACATTACAATTCTCTAGTTTTAGATTTTATGCCGTGTCAGTTGCGTAACCATTTCTAACAACAACGCATCATTCAACAGAAGGACTCGAGTAAGCACCTGAACAACTTCACCGCCCTCGTACCCGGAGATGGCGCAGGTGCCTCTTCTGATGCTTGCGCCGCTGTCACAGGTATTATCCGCCCTCGTTGAACCGTCTATTCATCGCAGTCACTGCTTCCGTTCATTATCCACCGTGCGATTGAGAGGGAAGGCCATCTCAGGTTGCGTCAGCAAGGTTCAGCGGTTCATCAGGGAGGGAGGAAGGCATTTCCCCAACATCGCCGTCATTCCCGTCAAGCAAAAAGGATCAAGCCAAGCCATGTTGCTGCTGAGCCATTGAGCCAAGACAAGTCACATGAATCACGACTCAGAAGTCGCCTCGGCCACCACCACTCAACCACAAGCCACTGCAGCAGTCACGAAGACGAACAATCACAGCTTGGCCCAGCCAGCCACCCTTCCTCCCTCACATGCTCGCCTGCACAACCTTTCCATGTCTCAACTGTTAGTTGGTCAACCACACATCGCCGAAATATTTGCCAGCTGCAGGCCTCTTTCGAGACCATGCAGGGTTGCATTTTAGTCTAGAGTGAATTTATATGTCTTCCAGAACTTCACGTCTCCTTGATAACCCAGAGGGCAATCCACCGCGTCTGGCCGACTCATAAGCCAGCACTCAGGCGCCCTCCGGCTCCAACTCTCGTGTCCCTCTGCCAGCACTCTACACTGCGTAGCTGTACTATATTTCAAGCCTCTAGGTCGCCAAGCCAATTTTTCGTAGCAGCAATCTCGAACTTTTCCCAGCATGACGCCAGCCAAACCAGCGTCGAGGTTACAATCGGTCGGCGTAGGGCTGCTAGCCATCATAGCAGCTTTCCTCCTCTTCTGGCCAGGCCCCGGTGACATTCCCCGGCGTCGCCTCGCCCTCAAACCTCTGAACAAGGCGCAGATCTTCAAGAGCCCGTTCAAGGGCTTCACCAAGGGCGTGCAGGACATGCTGAATAAGCTTAAGCAGCGCGACCGCACGATGGCGAAGTTCGTCGGGAACAGCGTCGAGACGATGCCGATCAACGTGAACATGACGCAGCGCGGCGTGCTGCTCGCGCTGAAAAAGGCCTGGGGAGGGAATTTCTATCAGTCGGAAACGTGGGTGGAGTCGGCTCAGGCCGAGCTCTGGTGGGGTGTGACGATCAACGAATTCGGATCTGTTACAGCGTTGGAGTTACCACGTGCGGAGATCACCGGCCCGCTTCCGATGCTGCTGACGAAGCTCACGGGGCTGACCGCGCTGGACCTAAGGGGGAACCACCTGAGAGGAAGCATTCCGAAAGGGTTACTCGCGGCGTTACCCGGTCTGCAGTCGCTGTACCTCAGCGATAATAATCTCGTTGGCGAGTTTCCCTTTAACGAGGTTTTCAGGAAGCCGGTTGTTCCCATGGCGATGTTGCAGATTGACGGTAATGTCTTCACAGGGACCATCGCCGACGACGTTTTCGCGAATGCGACGTCGCTGCAGTCGCTCGGCCTCTCCTCCAACAAGTTCTTCGGGGCGATTCCCTCCAGCCTGGGCAACTGTCGGCAAATCTCAGCCATTGATCTGAGCGACAACCAGTTCACGGGGCAAATTCCAGGAAGCATAGCTGGCCTCCCTGCACTCTCAATCTTTGACGTCGGTCAGAACAAACTTTCAGGGGTCATTCCGGATTTCTTGGGCAACTTCCCAAACATGATGAACCTCGACTTGAGCAACAACCAGTTTTACGGGGTCGTTCCAGCAACATTTTCCAAGTTCGGGCAGACATTGCGGGCAGTGAAGCTGGCCAACAATTTTCTCACGGGTCAACTGCCGCAATTTCCGAACCTTGGGCAGGGCTGCGGCTCCCCGGGTCCCGATGGGTCCGACAGCATCTCGTGCTACATGTTCAGCGTTCTCCTGGACCTTTCGGGCAATTATTTTGAGGGCAGCACGCAGTTGACTATTCAGGTGCCCGGGTCGGAGGACTACCCTGGCACATCTCAAGTCTGCCCTGCCGAGTATCCTGAGAAGGTTCTTGTGGAGGGTAACTGCCTCACGACTGACGGGGTAGGGGATGCAGAGTGTGCGGCGGAGGGTCAGAGGCTTCCTGAGCAGTGTAGCGCGTTTTGCGGAACAGGGACACCAGTGGGGCAGTGTGGAGGCAATGGGGTATGTGTCGTAGATACGTCGGTGGCAGCAACAGCCAAGCCGAAATATGTGTGCAAGTGTGACAACGGCTTCCAGCCTCCTGCTGGTAATCCTATGACGTGTGTGGCAGCTGCTTGAGAAGCTCCTCCATCCCCAGCCGTGTGTGGCGGCTGCTTGAAGAGTTCAAGCTGAGTTACCTTGGGATGAAGAAAATTCGAACTCTGGAAGTTAGCTGGGAGAGACGCACGCACGCAGTGTGTCAGTGTAGAACGCCCCAACACATGCTTCTATTGTAATCTGGTTTGTATTTTCATGTTGTACACATATTTCGTTATGTTGAACACTGAGGTTTTGGGATTTTTTTCGTGTATCATTGAAAGTATACATCGCAAACACAAATGCTATCGAATTCACTCTTTGCTGACTTGGGAGTAGCCAGTATGCCCATTTTCGAGATGTAAGAGCAAACAATAACTTCTGTACCTCAGATGGTTCTCGAGTGTACAGAATTCCCACATTGCTTTTAATGTTACGAATCGCGTTTCTTCGGGATTATATTGGTGCGACCAACCAAATGCTGGATCATCCCGAGGGACCAGCTTCCCGCTTTCCGAATTCCTGAGATTTGTTTTCGGCTCATGTCGAGTGATTCAAGCTTGATTTTCCGTTCAACATCCTGATACAGCAAATACCTTCAGTTGTGATCAAGCCAATTCCTTGTCGTTGCTTCAGCCGTGTCTCTTGAATCACGTCTTGCTTCGCTTTGAGCTGCCAACTTTGATCAAACAGAAACATGTAAGCGGCTGTTCAGCCAATATGTGTCCGCTCCAAGACCTTAGCTTTTCATTCATGAACATATTGTTTCTTCAGGTCGGAAGCCGTGGCGGAACAAGCTCCCCATGTGGTTGATGCTGCCCAGGAATCTGAAGATGAAGAAGAAACATTCGAGTCAATTGAGAAGTGTAGGCATCCAGTTTTTGAGGGATTTCAGTTTGCTGTAACGAGGGGTTGACGTTCTCGACAGTGATCACGCAGGGAATCAATGCTGGAGACGTTAAGAAACTTCAGGATGCTGGAGTTTACACTTGCAATGGACTGATGATGTGGACAAAGAAGGTAGCTATATTTTCAGGATTCCTATCTCTCTGGGAGATGGTGCTACCCTCGATACCCACCGTGCATTTCTTCGCAGGCCCTCTGTGACATCAAGGGTCTTTCCGATGCCAAAGTCGAGAAGATTCTTGAGGCCGCGGGTAAACTAGTGGTGAGTTTCTTCACTATCTGTTACATTAGCATCTTACAACGAAAGCTTTAACCCATGGTTTGAGTCAATTTGGTTACAGAATTGTGGCTACGTTACGGGAAACGAAGCTCTTAACCTGGTAAGGATTCATGCTCACATGCACCATTAGCTTCATTAAGTTGCGTGAGCACCCTCACTCATGATCTATTACTCTCAGAGGAAACAAGTCGTAAGAATCACGACAGGAAGCCAGGCCTTGGACGATCTCCTTGGAGGTTCGCCGTCGTGCATTTTATTTGTTTCTTTCTTTCTTCAGTAGGCCTCAAGACCATTGACCATGTCACGTTTCCAGGTGGCGTTGAGACTATGGCCATAACTGAAGCTTTTGGTGAATTTCGGTAGGTCTTTTGCTGCCCATATTTATTTTGCTGCCCCACGTGTTGGTATTGGACTTAACAGGTTTACGCCTTCCAGGACGGGCAAGACTCAACTTGCACACACATTATGTGTGGCCACACAGGTATGCTATGTGAAAAATGACAAAAAAAGTTTGAGTAAAAGGCAACGTTTCCTAACTACCTCGACATATCCGCTGCGCAGCTGCCAATCAACATGAAAGGTGGCAATGGTAAAGTGGCCTTCATTGACACCGAAGGAACATTGTAAGTGATCGTCCAACCAGAAGATGTTGTGATGGATGTACGAAGTTGCAAGTGATTTATACCCGCCTGTTTGTGAATCAGCCGTCCAGAGAGAATCGTTCCAATCGCCGAGAGATTTGGCTTGGATCCTAATGCGGTGCTTGACAATGTAAGTAGATTCCTTTTCAGGTCTCGTGTGTGTATGTAAGACTGTGACACTGAATCCCGTCGTAATGCAGATCATATTCGCTCGAGCTTACACGCACGAGCATCAATACGAGCTTCTCATTGCACTTGCCGCAAAAATGGCTGAAGAGCCCTTCAAGCTGCTGGTGAGAGCATCTTCGCTTCCGGCTACCGATTCATTACCAATTTTACTTAGCCCACTTTCACTGGTTTTAATTGGAAATCTATACGTCTGGACAGATCATCGACTCCATCACAGCTTTGTTCAGGGTGGACTTCACGGGGCGTGGAGAACTCGCGGAGAGGCAGGTACAATACGACACGTGACATTAGTCCACCGTACATCCGTTGTTTTTATCCTGACAATGTTTCGTCCTTCAGCAAAAACTGGCGCAAATGCTTTCAAGAATCAAGAAGATATCTGAGGAGTTTAATGTGGCCGTCTTTCTTACGAATCAAGGTACGGACGTGGTGACAATTGATGTCTGTTCCAGATGATCGACTCAGCGTTTCCAACTGACTTGTGTAATTGCGTGCTGGACTGGCAGTCATTGCTGACCCTGGAGGAGGGACGTTCGTTGCTGACCCCAAGAAACCTGCTGGAGGTCATGTGATGGCTCATGCATCCACCGTGCGGCTGATGTTCCGCAAGGGTAAGGGAGAGCAGCGCATATGCAAGGTCATCGACTCGCCAAACCTGCCTGAATCTGAAGCTACCTTCGCAATTGCCAACGGAGGAGTCGTAGACGCTAAGGATTAGGGCACTTCACTGAGAAAGCGGGAACAATCCAGTTGCGGCTGGGTACATATGTGGAATAATATGTAGCAGGAGTTAGGACAGGACAGGAAGCTGACACATTCTCTATTGTAGTATGCATACTCTTACAGAAAGAATTGCACACAACTCAAGCGTTACAGAACAAACTATGTACAGAACAAACTCAAGCGTCGGAACAACAAGAACGAGAGAATTGCACACAACAAACTCAAGCGTTACAGAATAAACTATGTACACAACAAACTCAAGCGTCGGAACAAGTGCCCGAGCAAGCAAGAGCAAAAAATGGCATGGCATGCTTCCCAGCAGCTAGGCTTATGGTACACTAACACACTAGTTGCTATCACCCTCATATGGAGGTGGAGGGATTTCGAAGCCTGCCATAGCCACTCTTCTCTCTTCAACCGGCCACTGATGCTCCTTCTCAGCTGCTATACCAATAGCTTCGACCACTCTTTGTGCCCCGTAGCTGAGTTGAGATTGCGTCTTCTCTGCTCCAGTCTGCAAGGTGGGGCACAGTGGGCACAGTGGAAGATGAAGTTCATATTTGGCATGGACAGAGGTACAGTTCAATTCCCCCACAACAAAAGCCTGAGCTCTTACCTGGGCTGCTGAATGCAGATGTCCCCAGCACTCGTGCCTGTTGTACTCCGGAATGTTTGAGTGGAAGTGTACCCACACCAGCGCATCCTCAAGGTCTGAAAACACAAGAACAGCTTGTGTGAGATCAACCCGCTTCACTTGGAAAGCCATGACACGTGCTTATCCAAGGTATACCTGGATGCTTATCAAAGAGTGCCCTGTCACCGTGTCTGAACGCCTCCAAAACGACTGGAAGCTCCTTCCTGAAGATCCAGAATCTGAGAGCTGCAATGGCGTTCAGCAGGAAATGACCTCCGCTGATGTGGCAGTGAACGTGGAGTGACATGTGGCAGTCTGAGCCATTGCAAGAATGCTCTGGGTGCACTTCTTGCCAAGGATCCCTCAAGTAGGGAGAACGGAAATCTGCTAGGCTGCAGTGCTGGCGCCACACTGCAAGAACCTCGTCCCTTTGCAGCCGAGAGTACCAGCCCATAAACTGCATCATGCCAATGGAGAAAAAAAACAAATACAAAAAAAGAGCAAACAAGATGCGTGAATTCAGCGTGAACGAGTGCTGAGACGCGGGAAGACCTGAGCCTCGCGAAAGGAACGTAAGATGTATAAGCAGACTAAAGAGCATGGGAGAAAATGTCCACTTAGTCACGGCCTGAATCAAACTCTACCTGAGATTTGTTGAATTCGTGAGCGATGGCGAGGGTGAGGCCAGCAGTTACGTCCGAGTGGGTAAAAGTGTACATCCGGGGCAGTGGGGCGTGGGCCGGGTGCTGCTCTTCCTCTGCTCCCATAAACACCACCTGAAGCTTCTTCGACTCAAAGACCGCTGGGCCGAACAGCCTCGCCTTTGAGATTGAGAAAGTGAATTGTGGAGCTAACAGGAAGTGAGTTGCAAATCAAGAGGCAGAACAGGAGGAAAACAAACTATACTCTCTCAGGTTCAGCTGCATCGACTTGTGACCTAACCTCACGCACTAGAAGCTACTCAAAGTGAAAGATGATTCTGCAATACCTGAACGCGGGACTTCGCAGCCGTTCCCATTGAGTCCCTGCCTCCAGCAGTCAGCCGTGCCTGTCCAGCACCAGCCATCTCCCCATCCCTGAAAGAGATTCCACGGCTAGAACTCTGAGCAGCCACTGAATTCCGCTTAGGAGGGAAGGACTTAGCAGAACAGGAAGTGGCGATGCGCTTCTGACTCATGGTAGGTCCCGAGAGATGATTCCTGCTACCGCCAAGGAATTGAACCTTGGACGAAACAGGAGCCAAACCCAAGCTAGCCATGATGTCACTAGTGATATTTCTCTTTGAAAGACAAGGGAGGTTGTAACCTATGTCGAGGGAGCAGGAACGGCTGCTGAGAAACTGCGGCTGCTCAGGCGTTGTTCGTTCGTTCGTTCTAAGATATTGTCGGCTTATGCAGAGGGGTTGAACGATAAAATGAAATCGAACTCTAGATGAATCTGCTTATGGTTTCTCCTGCTGCTTTTCTAGGCTGCGTCCGCTTCTTGATTCGACCACGGCGCTCCCGTCGACGCCAGAAACAGCAAATCGAATTTCCGGTCGACTCCATCGGGACGCACGAACTTGTTATGCGCAATTTCTAGGATCAACACATGGCGAGTCGCGATGTCAGAGAGTACAACTGTTTACTAGTTCACCACCTCACCACTTCACCAGCTTCCCCATTCCCCCTTGCTCGCTATACTGAGAAGCCGAGCAGGCTCTAGCACCGACGTGGCGCGTGCTGGGGGTGTCATGGACGGGCACTAGCATGTCGCTAAAGCGCGCATTAATAGCGAGGCGGGAAGGGCCGACACAAGCTCGCCACGTCAATAGCATCACCTGCTGCGCTGGAGCCTATTTGCACTTTCACTTATACTCACTACAACCGCACTCGAAAGAATCCTTGAAGAGATATTGCAACATTTGTTTTCGATCTATGAAGCCGTTATTCCAGATCGAAGAAAGCTCATTCCACTCCATGTGCTCACACTAGTACTGTAGTACCGGTATAGTATGGTTCCAGCGAAGGATCTGTTTATGGAGACATTTGAAATACTGCTCATTTGGCGTTCACAAGATAATCCTGATTCGCATGTTATCACGGTTTACTGTTACCGAAATTCGTTATGGCTCACAAAATATAATAATGCTAGTATGTTCATTCTCTGTAAGCCCTTCAGCTTACCTGGAATCAGAGTTTCGTTACTGAGCATGTCTAAAGTGTGTGATTGCAAAACACGAGTCGCAATGTGTCCGCATCATTTCGCAATTACTGCTCCGCCGCGAATGCCGCCGTGAAAATCGTGATCTCACACAACCCGAAAACTCTGGCAGCAGCACCTAGCACCAACAACTCCGAAGCGCTTCGGAGAAAAGGCACGCCCCCCTGTAACGCCCCTGTACCCCTCGCAATCGTCAATCACCTTTCCAAACCCATTTCTTCCCCCCACCCCCCCTCACGCAACTCATCACGTCAGCAGCAACCCAACCAGCCCACACACGCATCATAATTTCGAATTATATCTTCAAGAGCGTCACCATCACCCAAGCTCCGCAGCGATCTGCGCCGCATCCGACGCCACGAGACTCAGCAATAAGCCGAGGCGCTACGTGACGAATTGATTCGCATCGGCTCCTCTCGAGCCGAGGCGCTACGGGTCGAAATCGGCCTGCCTGGCGCTCATGCCTCAGGTATGAATACAGCTCAAATTAGTCACTTCACTCAAGCCTCATTCAAGCCAACAGTACTAGCTGCAATCAACCCAGCTCTGAATTTTATCCCCTCTCAGATATCAGCTATCCAGCTTTCAAGAAACAAACAGTCATGGGTGCGCTTCGCTCTCTCTTCCTGCTCGCGCTTTTCCTCGCCGCGACTCTGAGCCTCCTCGCTACGGTGTCCGCATGGGCGCCAGACATCCCTACGAAGATCCGCCCCACGGCTCCCAAGCGCGGCGCTCGGCGGGCCCTCCTCGCTTCTGCTGTTGATGATCGCGCTGCCGAGATTGACGGCGCCGACTCCGAATCCCACGTGGCGACGCCGCGAATTCTCGCTGGACCTCAGAAGCCCCTGCCGCCAAATCCAAGCAGGAAATCATCCGATAAGTCCAGCTCTAGTAGGAAATCATCCGCTGACGCCTCCGCTTCGGGGTTCCGCGTCGCCAACTTCCCCGTCGCGTCTAACCCGCCCTCTCTGAGGGGATCAACGGGCTCACGCGATTCCGTCTCGGGCATGTCTGACATTTCCGATAACACTTGGAGAACCGGTAAATCCGTCTCCTTCAATTCCAAGGACGGCGGATCGGTTCGAAAGGACTCACTGGATTCCATCTCAGGTGGCAGCTCCTTCGATTTTAAAACGGGTCCTACGAGGCCCCTTCCGAAGCCCTCAGGTGGCTCCTCTTTCGATTTCAAAACCGGTCCTAAGAAACCCCTTCCCAAATTTTAGAGAGGCCGGAGGGTAAGGGGGGCAACAAGGGAGCGAGATGATATGAATGAATTTACCTGCTGGTGTTCTGGCGTAGAGAGGGCGTGAAGAAGTCTGGTGCAGGGCTAGGGTACTACTGTGCTGCTGTGGTGCCAAGCTGCTGTGGTGCGGTGGCCTGGGATTCAAACTGGTACTGTGCGGTGGCTTGCTGCTTGCTGTTGTGTGCCTTGTGCTTCTTGTTGCTTTTCCTTTCTCTTGCTGTGCTTGTCTTTCGGTGGGCTGGATGGTTGAGTGAAGGGTTTCTTGCTAGTTGCTACTTATATATGTGTGTGTGTGATTCCATTCCACGTTCTGTTTCTAATAAAGACACCCTTTCCCTTTGGTATAAATAGCAAAATGCCATCCCACATTTGCACTAACGCATCCGGAATGCCATCGCCAGGAAATGGTTCACGTATTATATCCCAAAGCCCTTATGTTAATCACGCTTAACGCAATGCTACTATTTGGAAGGCTTAGCATGGCCCTTAGAACCGTTCGCACCTCCCACCCCCTTTCCCTTCCCACCACCATTACCACCGCCGCCGCTACCCCTCCCTCTCGCATGCTTGTTGCCGTGACTACCCTTGCCCTTCTCTCCTCTCTTTCCCTTCTCTCCTCCCTTCCCCTTCTCCCCTCCCTTCACCCTTTTCTTTGCTGGCTCCTCTTCAGTCGGCTGTGCATTCTTGACGTATCGGACGGGTCGAATGACCACCCCCACTGGCTTCATGACCTGCGGTAACACCGATCAATACACGCACAGCACACACACAGTGAAGACATGGAGAAATATGAGAAGCAGAGGGGAGTGTTCAGCCCCTGCTCTTGTCGGCTCCTCATCTCTGGGCTGGGCATTCTTGACGTATCTGACAGGTGGGATGACCACTCCCACTGGCTTCATGACCTGCGGGAAAGTAACACACACAACACACGCACAAAACACAACATACACAAATGAGAAAAGGAAAGAGTGTGCATCCCCTGCTCTCCTGGGATGAGAGTTCTAGACGTATCTGACAGGTGGGATGACCACCCCCACTGGCTTGAGAACCTGCCGTAACAGCATACAACAGACATGCAATACACACAGCATACAACAGACATGCAATACACACAGCATACAACAGACATGCAATACACACAGCATACAACAGACATGCAATACACACAGCATACAACAGACATGCAATACACACAGCATACAACAGACATGCAATACACACAGCATACAACAGACATGCAATACACACAGCATACAACAGACATGCAATACACACAGCATACAACAGACATGCAATACACACAGCATACAACAGACATGCAATACACACAGGAGGGAGAATTCCCCACTGCCTCTGCCCACTGCCTCTGCCCACTGCCTCTGCCCACTGCCTCTGCCCACTGCCTCTGCCCACTGCCTCTGCCCACTGCCTCTGCACTCCCCACTGCCTCTGCACTCCCCACTGCCTCTGCACTCCCCACTGCCTCTGCACTCCCCACTGCCTCTGCACTCCCCACTGCCTCTGCACTCCCCACTGCCTCTGCACTCCTTACTACCACTGCACTACACACTGCATTTGCACTCACCGCAGGGCGGGTCATGGAGCGGAACGCTGCTTCCGTGTTGAAGTCCCGACCAATGGGGTTAGCTGCTCCTATTGGCACCCCTAGTACTGGTCAGTTCCCCCCACTGAATCTGCACTCCCCACTCCCCACTGCCTTTGCACTCCCCACTGCCTTTGCACTCACCGCTGGGCGGGTCATGGAGCGGAACGCTGCTTCTGTGTTGAAGTCCCGACCAATGGGGTTGCGGATGCTGCGTGCGTACTCTGCCCGGTTGCGGAACATGTTGGGCAGCTCGGGCACAAAAAACTTCTCGATCTGCCCATGCGAGAGTGGGAGGAGAGTGGGAGGAGAGTGGGAGGCATTGGTGGGAAAGAGGGAGGCAGTGGAGAAACAAAACACATATAATTTAGGATATCCTGCATTAAGGAAGAACGATACCAACAGGCATTGCTCCTACTAACACAGGAAGTTACGATCGTATGAGTGCATACAGTACAGACGATTGAAATCCTCAACATCCCAAGAAAAGGAATGAATTTGATAGTGTCCTCACCTTCTTATTGTCCTTCTCCAATACAATCACATGAGTCAGCTTCGAATCCGCCCTCTGTTTCACCGCGTCCATCCTCCTCCTCTTCGCCTTCTCCCTCTCTTCTACTCACCAAATCACCCCTCCCATACCCCCTTTTACTCACCTTCTTATTGTCCTTCTCCGATACAATCACATGAGTCAGCTTCGAATCCGCCCTCTGCTTCACCGCGTCCATCCGCCTCCTCTTCACCTTCTCCCTCTCCTCCTCGATCCACCGCGGAGGCCCCTTGCGCCTCTGCACCTCCTCCCACTGCCCCCACCCCGGCAGCGTCACCGGCCCCTCCTCCCTCCCCACCTCCTTCTCCACCACTCGCTCTTTCTCCGCCTCGAATTCTGCTGCCACGTCATCACCTGCGAAGGCCAATCGCATCAGCTCATCTTGGTCTTTCTCGAACGCGCTCGCTCCGTTCCCTTCCTCTCCTCCTCCTCCTCCTTCCCCTCCTCCTCCCCCGCTGGCCCGTCCTTTTCTCTTCTTACCTCCCCGTTTCTCCCCTCCCTGCTCCTCCTCTTCCTCCATCCCCACTCCTGCTCCCCTCTCCACCCTCTCCCCTGCATCCTCCCCCCATGCTTCATCCTCCATATAAGCATCCCTTTTGCTTTCCAAGCGCATCCCCTCGTTATAAGCCACGCCATCGTCTATATCCTCCTCTCCATCCTCGCTCTCACTCTCGCTATAGTCACCCTGCATAATATCCACCGCTCCATTACCAGAACCATCACCCATCTTCCCCCCCTCCCCTCCCCTCGCCCTGACCCTCTTCTTCCCCCTCTCCTCCCCCTCCGCCTCGCCTACCCTCCCCTCCTCTCTCCCTTCCTCATCCTCCTCTTCCTCCTCCCCTCCCTCCATCCTCATCCCATTTTCACCCACCCCCTTCTCCCCTCCACTCCCTGTGTGTCGCAGCAAAGACTGCAAATCCCCCTCCCCTGCTTCCGCCTCTCTCTTGATATCCCCCTTGGATGGGGGCACTGACACGTCTACAGGGGCTGATGCAGAGTTGTCTACAACGGGCAACTGCAGGAGGGGTGGGTGGAGGGGGGCGGGGGAGGAATGTTAGAAAGGGTGAGAGTGACACTGCATGCATGCAAACCCCCCTCTTCTCCTGTTCCCGCCTCTCTCCCACCATCCAACACGGATGGGGGCACTGACACGAGGTGGGGAACTATGGGGGAGAAGGGGTGCGAAGCTGTGAGCAAGTGGTGCGCGCGTGCGTGTTTGTGTATGGGCGGGGGGAGGGGAGGGGGAGAGGGGAGGGCGGGCAAGGGACAGCTTGCAGCACATTAAATGATTAAACCATGCATGAACCCAACCACTCACCCCTGAGAAGGAGAACCCCTTTCCAGCTCCAAGCATCGCCTTCACCTGCCGTGCTGCCTCCCTTTCCTCCTTCAACAATCTTCCCTCTCCCCTGCCTTCTCCCTTTCCCCCAGACTTCACCCCACTCTTCCCCCCTCCGCTTTGCCCTCCTCCCCCACCATTGTCCCCTCCGCCTCCCTCCTCCTCCTCCTCTCCCTCCTCCCCTTCCCCCTCTCTCACGGCCACCCATTCGTCTCTCTCCTCCTGCCCCTCCCCTCCCACTACTCTCTCTCCCAGATTCCCAAACACCCTCCTCCCTGCTCCCACCCTCTCCCCCTCCTCCTCATCCTCTCCCCATCCTCCTCCCCCCCACCCATCACCCCCACTTCCACCCCCCCCCTTCCCCCTCCCACCCTCCCCATCCTCCCCGCTCCCATACCCCACCCCTTCCAACCCCTCCTCTAGGTCTTTAATCGCTTCTATAGCCTCTTTCTGAGCCTCTAATCTCCTCCTCTCAATAGCCTTAGCCATAAACGGCAAAGCAAACAGGCCACTCTTTGTTGCCCCATCCCCCTCCCCTCCCTCCCCCCCCATCCCCTCCCCCTTTCCCTTCCAACGCCCTCAGAATTCTCGCCTTAGCACTCGCTACCAGCCGCCTTCCCTCCTTCTCCCCTCCCCTTCCTTTCCCTCCCGCCTCCTCCCCCTCACTCCCCCCAGACTCCTCCCCACTACCCTCCTCTCCCCACTCCCCCTCCCCATCCTCCTCCTCCTCATCCTCCCCCTCCCCTCTCCCAATCGTCGCCGAATGAATCTTTCTAGTCAGCATGGCATGAGTTCTTAACTGCTCTGCCATAGCCTCTCTCGTCCCCTGCCCTCCAACCGCCGCTTTAGCCGCCATTCCCCTCTCTATAATCCTCTTGGCCCACTTAGACGTGTTCTTATGTCGAAGGGTCATTCGCTCCTTCGCACGTAAATACTCCTGCTTTATCGCAGCTTCCTGCGCAGCTTCCTTATCCTCCCACTCCTCCTCCCCACCGCCCGCTTCGCCTCCCACTGCAAGCCCCTTCTTTCTCTTCCTCTCTTCCGCCTTCCTTTCCATCTTGTGAAAGGTTTTGGATTTGATTTTCTTGACTCGCTTTGCCTTCGCTTCGTGTTGCAGCAGCAGCGATCGCATCTTGGCTAGTCGGTTCATTCTCTCCCTCGCTTCGTCCACTGACATCTGGAAGGACAGGGAAGGTGGAGGGGAGGAGTAGAAAGAGGGGGCACAGGTGTGCATGAGAATGGGGAGCTGGCATGGTGCAGTGGCAGCAGCAGCAGCGATCTCATCTGGGCTAGTCGGTTCATCCTCTCCCGTGCCTCTTCCACTGACATCTGTGGGGGAGAGGGGAGGCGAGGGGAGGGAAGGGGAGGAGAAGGGAGGGAGGGGAGGGGAAGGGGATGGGACGGGACGGGAGGGGAGGGGAAGGGGAGGGGAAGGAAGAAAGGAGGGAGTGGGGGGAGGAGGGGGAGGGCATGGGAAATGGAACAAGCACTGGTATGGTGCAGTGGTAGCGATCGCATCTTGGCTAGTCGGTACATTCTCTCCCTCGCTTCTTCCACTGACATCTGGTGAGAGAGAGGGGAGGGATAAAGGGGTAGGCGGGTTTGCAAGAAGGCAGGGCGTGGAAGGCAGGGCGGGGAGGGAGCACAGCTACAGCAGCCACACACCACACTCACCTTGTTAAGGGCCAGTGCCTCCCCATGCGCGATTCGCCTGTCATCCCCCACGCTTGCAGCCACCAGAGCAGGGAGGGCAGGGAGGAGGCAGGTACCCCAGCCCAGTTCCCTTCACAATGTCACCCACACACTCACCTTATTGAGAGCAAGAGCCTCCACATGCGCGATTCGCCTGTCATCCCCCACGCCTGCAGCCGCCAGAGCAGGCCCATGGTTGAGGGGAGGGAGAGCAGGGAGGCAGCTACCCCACCAGCACCCCAGTTCAAACACATCACACTCACCTTGTTCAGTGCCAGTGCTTCCCCATGCGCGATCCGCCTGTCATCCCCCACGCCTGCAGCAGCCACCTCCCTCTCCATCTCGGATTGTGGTCGGAACTTGTTCACCAGCTTGTCCGTTGACTTGAGCGTGGGCAGAGAAAGGAGGGGGAGGCAACACCTACCCTAACCCACCCCAGCCCCAGAAGGGGACTCACCTTATTCAAGGCCAATGCTTCCCCATGGGCAATTCTCCTGTCATCTCCCACCCCTGCAGCCGCCAGAGCAGCAGCCACCTCCCTCTCCATGTCCGACTGTGGTCGGAACTTGTTGACTAGCTTGTCCGTTGACTTGAGCGTGGGGAGAGACGGCATCTCGTCTATGAGGTTGAGGGATGGGGCTTGGCGGTTCTGCTGTACGAGGGGAAGCCACTTGGCTGCTTCTTTTGATGAAGCCTCGTAGGCCGCCCTGGGAGGAAGGAGGGAGGCAGGGAGGAAGGAGGAGGAAGGAGGGGGGAGGGGAGGGGAGGAGAGGAAGGGAGGGAGGGTAAGAGGGAGCAGGACATATGTTTTCTCCACTCTCTTCTCTACCCACAGTGTTGGCAGAGGACCCGTGTCAGTGTCAGGACCCCCACTCGCCACCATCCTCCTTGATCTATCCCTTACCCATCTCTATTCCCTACATTGTACTCAGAAACCCAAGCTACTCACTTTCTCTCCAGCCTTTCTCGAACCACTGTTGGCAGGGGCCCAGTGTCAGGAGCGCCACTCGCCTCAATCCTCCTCATCTGCTTCTTCACCCCTTACCCATCTTTATTCCCTGCACTGTACCCAGGAAGCCCAATCTACATGGTACCAAGCCACTCACTTTCTCTCCAGTCTCTCTCGAACCACTGTTGGCAGAGGACCAGTGTCAGGAGCGCCACTCGCCTCAACCCCTTACCCTCTACCTACCTCCATGCCATACCATACACCCAGAATCCCAAGCCACTCACTTTCTCTCCAGCCTCTCCCGCACAACAGTTGGCAGAGGGCCGGTGTCAGGAGCGCCACTCGCTTCGATCCGCCTCATCTGCTTCTTCAGCCCAGCCAGCGCCGAACCTCCCACTCCCAAACCCGCCGCCGGCGCGCCTTCCGCCGAGCCTTTCGCCAAGCCTGACAGATCAGCCCCAGCCTGCCCCAGCGGCCGAAGCAAATCCTCCACAGACAGCCCTCCCGAGCCTGCTGCTGCCGAACCTGCTGCAGTGGTAGGGAGAGCTCCCGCCGCTCCTGCCGCTCCTCCTGCCACGGCTGCTGCTGCTGCGTCGGCTGCTGCTGCCAATGCTGCGCCCTTGGCTGCTGTGAGGTTGAACTCTGACTCGGGTAGACTCTCCCCCACCACTGCGGATGCTTTCAGGGCTATTGCCCCACGTGGCCTTCTAGCTGGAGGGACGGTACGAGGGGGAAAGAGGGAAGAGAAGGGGAAGACAATGAAGAGAGAGGGGCGAAACAGGGACTCGCTGAGCCCTTGGCTGCTGGGAGGTTGAATTCTGACTCGGGCAAACTCTCCCCCACCACTGCTGATGCTTTCAGTGCTATCCCTCCACGGGGCTTCCTGGCTGTGACGGCAAGGGGAGGAGAGTCGACACAGGCAAGACAGTGAGGAGAGAGGGGCGAGACAGGGACTGGTTGCGCCCTTGGCTGCTGTGAGATTGAACTCTGACTCGGGTAGACTCTCCCCCACCACTGCTGATGCCTTGAGGGCTATGGCGCCACGTGGCTTCCTAGCTGTGAAGGCAGGGGGGAGAAGAAGGGGGTGGGAGAGACGACAAGGGCATGACAGTGAGAAAAAAAGGGTGAGGCAGGGATTGAGCTGCGGCCTTGGCTGCTGTGAGGTTGAACTCTGACTCGGGTAGACTCTCCGCCACCACTGCTGATGCCTGGAGAGCAATGGCGCCACGTGGCTTTCTAGCTGAAACATGACGGGAGGAGAGAGGGGAGTGGGGAAAGCCAGCAGGAAGGAGGAGGGGGGGATTTAACTCTGACTGACTCGGGTAGACTCTCCCCCACCACTGCTGCTGATTCTTTGAGCGCCATGCTTGCAAGGCTCTGCTCTGCCCCGACCCACAGAACCCCCATCCTCTCCTCCGCCCTTGAACCTACTAATCCCGAATCCCCCCATCTCTCCATTCCCTCCGCACCCACCTTGTGTGTCGCTCAAGACTCCACTGCCACACACCTACCCCTGAAGCCCTAACCCTGAAACCCCATTCTTTCCAGCTTAAACCCGAACCCCCGACCCCCCTTCCCTCTTGCCTTACCTTCCCTGCTTTGCTGCCTCGCCACCACATCAGCCAGCAGCTGCTGATGCTTCTGCCTTGCATGCTATTGACTCACCTTCCCACTCTGACTTGACTTGACTTGACTCACCTTCCCTGCTTTGCTGTCTCGCCACCACATCAGCCAGCAGCTGCTGATGCTTCTCCTCGTCCTCATCGTCATCTTCCTCCTCCTCACTCTCCCCCTCTCCCCCCTCTCCCTCCTCTCCCTCATCCTCCTCCTCCTCACTCTCCCCTTCCTCGTCCTCCTGTTTTCCGTGACCCCTCAATTTCCCAAGCTTCTTCTTCCCCTTTTTCCAATCTCCCTCTCCCTCTCCCTCCTCCTCCTCGTCCTCCTCATCCTCCTCCTCATCTTCCTCATCCTCTTCCTCATTATCACTATCTAACATACCCCCCTCCTCTTCCTCTTCCTCCTCTTCCTCTCCCTCCTCTTCCGCCCGTCGCCCCATCCCCATCTTCTTCTCCTCTTCGGTAAAAGCCTCGTCCTCATCGATTTCTTCGTCCTGATGTGAACGGAGGGAAACAGAGGAGGGAAAAGAGGGGGGAAACAGAGGGGTAAAAGGGGAGGTACGGTTGCAAGATTATCCCCTCCTCTTCCACCCTTCTTCCCATCCCCATTATCTTCTCACTCTCCTCTCCAGTAAAAACCCCATCCTCGTCAATCTCTTCGTCCTGATGTGAACGGAGTGGAAAGTAAGGAGAAAAGGGAGGAGGGATGAGAGCAATGGGAAGGGACGAGGGAAAGAGTGCGGGTTGGAAACCGTCCCCTTGTCTATTGGCCCATCCCTATCTTCTTCTCCCCTCTTCAATAAAGACCTCCTACCAGCCCCCAAAAGTCCTGCGAAATTCAGCGAAAACACAGCGAAAGTACATCTAGAGTTACATCTAGAGCTAATCGTTTCGCTCACCTCGAAGTCCGCAGGAAGCTCGTATTCGTACACGTCCACGTCATCGTACCGCCGGTTCTTCGTGGAAGCTTCCTCCGGAAGCTCCTCCGCCACCTCGTACCCCGCATCTACCGGCGTCGCCTCGTCCTCGTCGCTGTCCAACCCTCCGCTTTTTCCGCCGCCAAAGCCGCCGCCTCTCCCGCCGCCAAATCCGCCACCGCGGCCGCCGTATCCTCCCCTTCCCCCTCCGCCGCTCCATCTCCCCCCCCTTCCCCTTCCCCCGCCCCTTCCGCCGCCTCTTCCGCCTCCTCTTCCCCCTCCTCTTCCGCCAAAACCCCTCCCCCCGCCTCTTCCCCCGAAACCCCTCCCCCCGCCCCTACTGAGTCCTCTTCCCCCGCCTCTTCCCCCGCCTATCCCCCCACCTCTTCCCCCGCCTCTCCCTCCGCTAATGTCCCCGCGCCCGCCGCCGCGTCCACCGCCACCAGGCGAGCCCGATCTGCCCCTGCCGCGGGAAACCCCGCGGAAACCGCCCCTTCCGCGGGATCCCCCGCGGAAGCCGCCGCCGGGGGATCTGGCCTGCATGGCGTCGGGACGCCCCATGCTGGCGCGCGGGATTTGACTTGCGTTGACTGGTTTTACTCGCTTGACTGGTTCGAGCGGCTTGACTAATTCGTCTCAGGAGTGTCAAATATTCCAATGTAACACGTGCTATGCGTGACCAATGCGCGACCCGTTACACCGCACTTGCTGCTCTGCGACTTGGTTAGCACGAGGGCCGAAACATGGAGGTTGGGAATACGTAGGAAAGACTAATCAGGCGAAAACGGGAGAAGCCCGCTAGGTTTCGGGTGTTGGGTTTTGGCTATAATTGGGAAGGTGGGAAGGAACCGCCAAAAGCAGGCTCGGCTTGTAGTATATGAAATCCCCATGCAATACACGTGCTGAGATTTAGTTTTTGTTTGAACAGCAATAATAATCACCTGTCAGGATACACCAAGAATCGCACGGTAAACAATGCCCTAGGACTTAATGTATCGAATCCAGATAATGTATGTAACATGGCTATGACTTACTAGAAGCGTCAAGAATTCTAATCCATCAAACTTGAGCTTACCCTTCCCATACTGCACACTGGGTCATTATGGTTGATACACTAGACCACATGCTGCCCACCTAGGGGAATGCTGCATTAAAATCTGAAAATGTTGTGAGAAAAGACGCGCCAATACCAAGTCACAAAACTCGAAGTGTAATTAAAAGGCTTGAAGCCATGTACCATTGAGGAGCCGCTGTATGGAACGTACAAGGGGAGAAGGAAGGAGGGGGAGAGAAGCACACAGAACAAATGCTAGGGAATGGAGAGGCAAGGGTGTGTTGAGGCTGCTGGTGACATGGTTAGTGCTGCAGAAGGTTGCTGGTGGTTGTGTTGGTGCCAGTGCTGCTGGTGGTGCCAATAGTATAAAAGAAAGAAAGAAATAATGAAAGGGAAAGAGGTTGAGCCATGGGGATGGTTGATGCTGACACTGCTAGCATGGCAAACAGCTGGTGCTGGTGATGCTTTCGGTGGTGGTGCTGATGGTGGTGTTGTTGATGGTGGCCGTGTTGGTGCCGTGGGGTTGTAACAGTAGTGCTGCTGGCGCCAGCGCTGGTGCTGCTGGTGCTGGTGGTGCTGCTGGTGGCAGTGCTAGTGTTGCTGCTGGCGCCAGTGCTGGTGCTGCTGGTGGCAGTGCTAGTGTTGCTGGTGGTGCCAGTGTTGGTGCCACTGGTGGCAATGCTGCATCACAATGTGCAGAGCTGGTATTGAGTGCTGCTGCTGCTGCTTGTTCTCGTCCTGCTGGTGTTGGTGGTGGTGTTGGTGTTGGTGTTGGTGGTGGTGGTGGTGGTGGTGGTGGTGGTGGTGGTGGTGGTGGTGGTGGTGGTGGTGGTGGTGGTGGTGGTGGTGGTGGTGGTGGTGGTGGTGGTGGTGGTGGTGGTGGTGGTGGTGGTGGTGGTGGTGGTGGTGGTGGTGGTGGTGGTGGTGGTGGTGGTGGTGGTGGTGGTGGTGGTGGTGGTGGTGTTGGTGCTGGCGTTGGTGGTGGTGTTGGTGCTGGCGTTGGTGGTGGTGTTGGTGTTGGTGGTGGTGGTGGTGGTGTTGGTGGTGGTGGTGTTGGTACTGGTGTTGGTCTTGGTGTTGGTGTTAGTGGTGGTGATGTGACCAAAGACGATGCTGCTGCAATTGCTGGTGGTGCTGCTGTGTGCACCTGTGCAGGTGGCAATGTTGGCACATCACGGTGTGGTGAAGGTGGGTTGGGGGTGCTAATGCTTATAGCACTGCTTGTGCAGGAGTTGGTGTGGTGACGGTGGGGTGGTGATGCTGGTCTGTGCACCTAAGCAGGTGGCAATTTTGGCACTTCTGAGTGCTGTGCTGGTGTTGGTGATGAGACCAGCGGTAGTGCTGCTGTGTGCACCTGTGCAGGTGGCAATGCTGGCTATCGAGAGTGCTGTGCTGGTGGGGGTGCTTCTGCCTGTGGGGCCGCTGCTTGTTCTCTTGCTGCTAGTGCAGGTGGTGCTGTTGGTGCTGGCGCTGTGACCACGGCTGGTGCTCGTGCTAGTTCTGGTGCTCATGGAGGTGCTGCTGTCAGTGTGCGTGCTCGATTCAGAGGTGACTTTTGAGTCGACTCAAAAGTCACCTTGCTTGTGGAGGTGCTGCTGTTAGTGTGGGTGCTTGATTTGGCACCACAATTGTGGCGGCGCTGGTGCTGATGGTGGTGTGTGCTGGTGTCAGTGTGGGTGCTCGATTTAGAGGTGACTTTTGAGTCGACTCAGAAGTCACCGTGCTCATGGTGGTGTGTGCTGGTGTCAGTGTGGGTGCTCGATTTAGAGGTGACTTTTGAGTCGACTCAGAAGTCACCGTGCTCATGGTGGTGTGTGCTGGTGTCAGTGTGGGTGCTCAATTTAGTGCCATTAAGTGTGGTGGTGCTGGTGATGATGGTGGTGGTGTGGCTGGTGCCAGTCCAAGGTGGGTGATAAAGCGCGTTCAAACGGTGCTGATACCAACTGTGTTGGTGGGGACTGTGAGGGTGAGGCCATCAATGCTTCTGCTGCTCATGCTACTACTGGTGCTGCTGCTAGTGCTCCCAGTGCTTGCGCTGGTGCCACTGGTGGTGCTCCGAGTGTTGATGTTTCCGCTGCCTCTATGCAACTGCTCCTACTGCTGACGGTGCTGGTGCACTTCTGGCACGAAAGTGCACTTGTGTTGGTGCTGGTGGTATTGGTGATCCCAAACGTATCCTTACACATGTGCATTGTGCAAACAGTGGTGCATACAACAACATCCTTCCTAACCCAAACGTGTTGTGCAATTTGCAAGCCGCAACAACAGACCGCGTCTGCGGAACAGTGAAACCCAGTCAGCAAAACACTCGCGTGCAGCTCCGGCATTTGAAACGAATAAGACACAGTGTGCAGTGCAGGGACGGTGGACATCACACACGTTCACAGACACTGTGCGTGTGTGTGCGTGTGTGCAGAGCCGTGGATCACCTAGGCAAAGCTTACCATAAAGGCAACGCTTGGCGATGAGAGAGAGGACCACTTTACCTAGGCGGGTACCCGCCCTGTCAGTCTGAGTCTGAGTCTGAGTTTTGACAGGCTCTGAGTCTGTCTGCAGAGTCCCAGCACAGTCTGATTGCTTTGCAGCGTCTCTCGGCTCTTCAGAAGGGAGAATTCCACTTCCCCCCCCCCCACACGCCACTGCATAATGCATTCCTACGTTCTGCCCCAGAATGTGTTCGCAAAACCCCCCTCCTCCATCCCTGCTGATGGCAACTCTACCCCTCCTCCTGCCCCTCCGTGCCTCCTGCCAGTGGTTCTAGCCTCTACCCCTGCTCCCCCCCTTGCTCCTGCATCCCGCGCTCCCCACTCCTGTACCACGCTGAACACCCCTGCATTCCTCTACGCATCTACTGCTCCCCCGCCGTGCTTGCTGGCGGCGGCTCTACCCCTGCCCCTGCTGCCCCTACAGTCCCTGAAGGGTCCCTCCCTTCCCTCTCCATTGTGACCCTTCTGTACCGCAGTGAACCCCCCTGCACTCCTCTACGCATCTACTGCTCCCCCGCGGTGCCAGCTGGTGGCGGCTCTAAACCTGCGCCTGCTGCCCCTGGTGGCCCGGCCGCTGGGTCCCTCCCTTCCCTCTCCATCGCCCTGTGACCCTTCTGACCGAGAGGAGTGCGAGAGAATGTGCTAGGGGAGGAATGAGGGAGAAAGAGAGACACGGAGATGAGGATGGGGCAGGATATAGAGGGGGAGAGAAGGCGGAGAGAGCGAGGGAGGAGGAGAGGGAGAACGAGGGAGAGAGAGGGGAAGAGGAGGCGAGGGAGGACGAGGGAAAGAGAAGGAGAGAGGACACGAGGAAGAGAGAGGGAGAGAGAGGAGTCAAGGAACACTGCTTGATCAAACTTCAAAGGAACAGAGTAAAAGAAGATGGAGGGGTGGATCAGCAGCAGGTTGACTCAGCAAAGGCAGTGGGTGAGAAGCTAGGAAAAAATGCGAGTCAGAAGAAAAGAACGGAGGAGAGCGTAACAAGGCAAGGGATGTCAATTTTGAGAATTCTCAAAAAGTGGCTCTTGGGCGGGAGGAGAGGAGTGGAAATTGAGAAAAGAAGAGAGGAGAGGAGAGAGGGAGGCGCGGGGAAGAGAAGCACGCATAGGCAAAGGAAAAAAGCACATAGGTCAGAAGAGATGAGAGAGTGCGAAGCCAGAGGAGGACCAGGAAAGAAGCAGAGAAGGGTCAAGTGAACCATGGAGGCATGTAGGGCACAAGGGGCAGGGCACAATGGGGCAGCGGCGCATTGAGGAGGATATTGCACGCGCACAGGCCCTCGGTCGGAGGAGGCAAGAGAGATTCCCTGCAGCGCCGTGTGCACTGCTGATGCTGCGTCCACATCCTGGCATGAGGGGAGGGGGGAGGAGGGGAGGAGGGCAGAAGAAGGAGAAATGGGGAGGGCACTGCTGCGTGAGGGAGAGAGGAGGCGAGAGAGATGCCCTGCAGCGCCGTGTGTGTGCACTGCTGATGCTGACTCCACGTCCTGGCGAAGAGGGGTTGGGAAGGGGACAGAAGGAGGGGAAGGGGAGTAAGTGAGGCGAAGAGGAAAGGCGAGAGTGATTCCCTGCAGCGCCGTGTGTGTGCACTGCTGATGCTGATTCCACGTCCTGGCGAGAACACAGGGGGAGGGGACGAGAAGGGAGAGGTAGGGGGGATGGAACATATTGTGAGAAGGAGGTAGAGGTACAGGACTTAATGCCTCCTGTAGTTAATCCCCAGCTATTGATTTTCAGCAATTAATCAAACAGAGAAGCAGCATTCCAACACTTACTTATAAGGGTATGGCGACATGGAACAGAACTAATACACTCACCATGATCCAATAAGTTGGGGTAATACACTCACAACGAACTGCACAAAGCAGCAGGTGCTCATTCCCTGTCGAAGCAGCTTCAGTTGCACATAACCAGGCTGCCTGTAACGAGGATAAGAGGCCAGGAAAAAAAAAAACAAGGAAAAACGAAGAAGGATACACTTCAACAGACTGAAGGAAATATGAGTACCCAGGATACCAACACTGTACACTTGAATTTGAGATATATTTGACATTGTAACGAAGCGAATTGAGTAAGCAGATCGACATTTGCAAACTGAAGATTAAGAAGCAACGAACCGTGGATATAGCTATTAATGGAAACACACACAAACAGAACCTGACGCAATGCATATCGAGAGAAAAACAGAAGAGAAGGAAAAAACAAAGAGACTCACACGCTGAAGATCTGCAACAGCTCGGCTTCGCTCACTTGCAGGCCCAGATTGCCGAGATAGAGGGTGTTGCAGGGGGGGTTGTCGCGGTATATCTGAGGGGGTTGGAGGGGATACAGTACGGCATATTGCGGTTCAATGTGGTGTTACGGTTGTGGTGTGGTGTGATGTCTGTGGAAACACCCTCCTCACTTGCAGGCCCAGGTTGCCGAGATAGAGAGCGTTGCAGGGGGGGTTGTCGCGGTATATCTGATCGAGGGGGGTATGGTGCGGTAAAGTTCGGTATAATGTGGTGTTCATGTGTTGTGGTTGTACTGTGGTGTGGTGAGACCCTCCTCACTCCCAGCCCCAGGTTGCCGAGATAGAGCGTGTTGCAGAGGGGGGTGTCACGGCATATCTGATAGGGTTGGGGGGGATACAGTGTGGCATATTGCGGTTCAATGCGGTGTTACTGGGGTCTGGTTGTGGTGTGGCAAGATCATCCCTCACTCCCAAGCCAAGGTTGCGGTACAATGAGGTATTAGGCGCGGTAAGAGCGTCACTCGCAGGCCGTGCCCAGACAGAGGGTGTTGCAGGGGGGCTTTGTCCCGGTATATCTGAGGGGGCAAGAGGTAGTGAGGTAGAATGATGAGGTATAAGGCGTGGTAAGAGCCTCACTCGCAGGCATAGTAAGAGCCTCAAATCACCTCACCTCACCTCACCTCACCTCACCTCATTTCACCTCACCTCACCTCACCTCATTTCACCTCACCTCACCTCACCTCATTTCCCCTCACCTCACCTCACCTCATTTCACCTCACCTCACCTCACCTCATTTCACCTCACCTCACCTCACCTCATTTCACCTCACCTCACCTCACCTCATTTCACCTCACCTCACCTCACCTCACCTCATTTCACCTCACCTCACCTCACCTCATTTCACCTCACCTCACCTCACCTCATTTTACCTCACCTCACCTCACCTCATTTCACCTCACCTCACCTCACCTCATTTCACCTCACCTCACCTCACCTCATTTCACCTCACCTCACCTCACCTCATTTCACCTCACCTCACCTCACCTCATTTCACCTCACCTCACCTCACCTCATTTCACCTCACCTCACCTCACCTCATTTTACCTCACCTCACCTCACCTCATTTCACCTCACCTCACCTCACCTCATTTCACCTCACCTCACCTCACCTCATTTCCCCTCACCTCACCTCACCTCATTTCACCTCACCTCACCTCACCTCATTTCACCTCACCTCACCTCACCTCATTTCACCTCACCTCACCTCATTTCACCTCACCTCACCTCACCTCATTTCACCTCACCTCACCTCACCTCATTTCACCTCACCTCACCTCACCTCATTTCACCTCACCTCACCTCACCTCATTTCACCTCACCTCACCTCACCTCATTTCACCTCACCTCACCTCACCTCATTTTACCTCACCTCACCTCACCTCATTTCACCTCACCTCACCTCACCTCATTTCACCTCACCTCACCTCACCTCATTTCACCTCACCTCACCTCACCTCACCTCACCTCACCTCATTTCACCTCACCTCACCTCACCTCATTTCACCTCACCTCACCTCACCTCACCTCACCTCACCTCACCTCACCTCACCTCACCTCACCTCACCTCACCTCACCTCACCTCAACGCCTTCCTGAGCCATCTTACCTTTCCAGGCATGCCAGGGGGCGGAGAAGGGAGGGTAGTGTACGTCTTGGGAGCAGTCGTGGCCGCAGGAGGGGCGTGGAGGAAACAACAGAGAACCCTTTGGATCAGTGCAAACCAGACCGCGCCTTTCTGAGCCCTCTTACCTTTCCGGGCATGCCCGGGGGCGGAGCAGGGGGGGGTTGTACGTCTTGGGAGCAGCAGCGACGTTAGTAGGGGGGAAACCTTGGGAACAGAAACGGAAAAAACAATGCCTTCCGGAACCATCTCACCTTTCCAGGCATGCCAGGGGGCAGAGCAGGGGGGGTAGTAGTGTACTACTTGGGAGCAGCAGCGGGGGCAGGGGCGGCAGCGAGGGGGCGCGAGAAGGGGACTATATAGAACCCTTCGCATCAGTGCAAACATCACTGTAGTTTTCTGAACCCTCTCACCTTTCCAGGCATGCCCGAGGGCGGAGCAGGGAGGGGGGTGTACGTCTTGGGAGCAGCAGCGGGGGCAGCAGGGAGGGGCGTGAAGGAGGAGGCATATGCGTCATATGCTGCAGGCATGAAGCTGGGGTGGGGGGTTGGGGAGGGGAGGAAAATGGGAGGGGAAAGAGGTAGAGAAGAGGGGGGGGGGGGGGGAGTTAGGAAAAGGCGAAGAGAGAAGGCAAGAAAACAGAGTGAACAAGGCTTGGGAGACGACGAGGTGAAATATAATAACGAGTCGGCTCAAAAGTCACCTCGATAGTGAAAGGACAAAGTTGGGAGGCAAAAAAACAGAATGAACAAGGCTTGGGAGAAGAAGCGGAACAGAGGGGGCAGCAGGGAGGGGTGTGAAGAAGGAGGCATAGGCGTCATATGCTGCTGGCAAGAAGTTGGGGGAGAGGGGGTGGGTTGGGGGAGAGAGGAGGAGAAGAGGAAAGAAGAGAGCAATGTAGAGATCCGAAACACTTTGCAGCAAGGAAGCTAAAACGGGGGGCAAAAGGTGGGCGGAAAGGGGGGTTGGGGCCGGGGAGGGAGGAAGGCGGAATTCTGAAGAAAAGAGTTGGGTGGGCGCGGGTGGAGAAAGGGAGAGGGAGAGGGTGAGGGCACGGAGCAAGAAGGCCGCTACATCTCCTGAGTCGACTCAAAAGGCGGAAGAAAGGAGGTGGGTGAGCGTGGGAGGAGAAAGGGAGAGGGAGAGGGTGAGGGCACGGAGCAAGAAGGCCGCTACATCTCCTGAGTCGACTCAAAAGGCGGAAGAAAGGAGGTGGGTGAGCGTGGGAGGAAAAAGGGAGAGGGAGAGGGTGAGGGCACGGAGCAAGAAGGCCGCTACATCTCCTGAGTCGACTCAAAAGGCGGAAGAAAGGAGGTGGGTGAGCGTGGGAGGAGAAAGGGAGAGGGAGAGGGTGAGGGCACGGAGCAAGAAGGCCGCTACATCTCCTGAGTCGACTCAAAAGGCGGAAGAAAGGAGGTGGGTGAGCGTGGGAGGAAAAAGGGAGAGGGAGAGGGGGAGGGCACGGAGCAAGAAGGCCGCTACATCTCCTGAGTCGACTCAAAAGGCGGAAGAAAGGAGGTGGGTGAGCGTGGGAGGAGAAAGGGAGAGGGAGAGGGTGAGGGCACGGAGCAAGAAGGCCGCTACATCTCCTAAGTCGACTCAAAAGGCGGAAGAAAGGAGGTGGGTGAGCGTGGGAGGAGAAAGGGAGAGGGAGAGGGTGAGGGCACGGAGCAAGAAGGCCGCTACATCTCCTGAGTCGACTCATAAGGCGGAAGAAAGGAGGTGGGTGAGCGTGGGAGGAGAAAGGGAAAGGGAGAGGGTGAGGGCACGGAGCAAGAAGGCCGCTACATCTCCCCCTCCCCTTCCTGCGCTTCTCCCGCTAACCCTCCCTCCGTCGCCCCCTCCCCTCCGCCTCCCTTCACCGCCCCTCTCACCTGCCCATAGCAGCAGCAGAGGCAGGCATGAAGGCCACCATGGGATCGACCCTCCTGCCCTCCTCTTTTTCCATCCCCACCCTCCTCCTCACCACCCCAGCCTCCCGTCATCCTTCCCCTCCCCCCTCTCACCTGCCCATAGCAGCAGCAGAGGCAGGCATGAAGGCCACCATCGGATCGACCCTCCTGCCCTTCTCCTCTCACGACCCCTTTCCCTCCACCCATCATCCCTCTTCACCCCTCTTCACCCCTCCACACCCCACACCTCTCACCTGCCCATGGGAGCAGCAGAGGCAGGCATGAAGGCCGCCATGGGGTCCACCCTCGAGCGCTTGGAGTGGTCGTAGCCATCACCCCATGGAAACGTTTCCCCTCCCTCCCCGCCCTCCCCTCCCCCGACCTCACCTGCCCATTGCAGCAGCAGCACCGGGCATGAAGGCTGCCATGGGAACCACCCTCGAGAGCTTGGAGTGGTCGTAACCATCACCCCATGGATCCACCCCTCGTGCATTTCCCCCTCCTTCCCCATTCCCACCGTCTCCCCTCCCTCCTCCATCCACCCCTCACCTGCCCATAGCAGCAGCAGCAGCACCGGGCATATAAGCAGCCATGGGATCGACCCTCGAGCGCTTGGAGTGATCATAGCCGTCACCTCCCCCGGGTAGACCTGCATGAGAGAGAAGCGTGTGGGGAGAGGATCTAGTAAGAGAGAGGAAAGGGGCAAGAGAGATCCACCCTCAAGCGCTTGGAGTGATCATAGCCGTCACCTCCCCCGGGTAGACCTGCATGAGAGAGAAGCGCGTGGGGAGAGAATCTAGTAAGAGAGAGGAAAGGGGCAAGAGAGATCCACCCTCAAGCGCTTGGAGTGATCATAGCCGTCACCTCCCCCGGGTAGACCTGCATGAGAGAGAAGCGCGTGGGGAGAGGATCTAGTAAGAGAGAGGAAAGGGGCAAGAGAGATCCACCCTCAAGCGCTTGGAGTGAACATAGCCGTCACCTCCCCCGGGTAGACCTGCATGGAAGGGACGCACGGGGAAACACCGAAATAAGGGAGGACACGGAAAGCAGGAGGGAGAGGATAGGTGAGAGCGAGCGAGGAATGGGGCGGGCAGGCACGGTCGATTTTTGAGTCGACTCAAAAAGAGGATAGGTGAGAGCGAGCGAGGAATGGGGCAGGCAGGCACGGTCGACCCTCGATCGCTGGGAGTACCCTAAACACTGACAAGGCCTTGCACTGTAGAGCCTAAACTTTAACTGTACACCCTAAACCAAAATCCTCAACGCTGTCACTTTGCGGAGCATGTTTCGGCCTCTCGCCTCGTTCGCCCGCACTCTTTCTTCTGTGCAGGTTGGTTTGGTTCAGCTCCACTTTCAAAACACGGAGTTCAAGTCTCGAAGCCCGCTCGCTCATATATGCGAAAGAAGTTACAATGTCTCTGACCGTCTTGCATGCCGCGTCTATCTTTGCCTCTCACCTTTCCTTCTGTGCAGGTTCGTTTTAGCCAGCTCCACTCGCAGCACTGAGTTGTGATCCGCGTCGAATATGAGACCCTGGGAAGGGGAGAGGGAAGGGGAACAGTGCACACATACACATGAAGGATCAGCGAGGCAGCAGCAGCAGCAGCAGCAGCAGCAGCTCCACTCGCAGCACTGAGTTGTGATCCGCGTCAAATATGAGGCCCTGGGGGGGGCGGAGAGCGCAGGGAGAGAGGCACAGTGAACAAGCTTGCAGAGACGTCTCAAAAGTCGTTTCCATACTTCCCCTTCTCACCTGCCCAGTTCTGAGACGTCTCAAAAGTCGTTTCCATACTTCCCCTTCTCACCTGCCCAGTTCTGAGACGTCTCAAAAGTCGTTTCCATACTTCCCCTTCTCACCTGCCCAGTTCTGAGACGTCTCAAAAGTCGTTTCCATACTTCCCCTTCTCACCTGCCCAGTTCTGAGACGTCTCAAAAGTCGTTTTGTCGGAGAACACCTCTCCTCCCCGCTGCTGTTCTTCTTCTCGTCATCCCTTCTTCCCCACCTGCCCTCTCTCTCCTTCCCTTCTCTGCCTTGCCCCGCCTCAGTCACCCACATGAAAGAGTTTGGTCCCTCACCCCGTAGGTTCCCCTCTTAGTGACGTGCCACGGTGTGCTAGAGCGTCGATGACAACCTTCACTAGTTCGAGAGAATAACAAGCCTAAGGCAAGAAAGGGGTGGGTGTGAGGGACCCTACGCAGCCCCAAGCTGCACATTTCCCAAATGTGCGGCTCGGGATTGGTGTTCCCTGGTTTCACAATTCGCCCTTCCGTCCCTTTCCCCCGTGATTCCAACCGCTTCAATTCGGTTCCCCCCTTCTACACCCCTCTACAACAGTCATATCGCTACATTCTACACCCCTATGCTATTCCTAATATATAAGTCTTCCTACACCTATGGTCGTACGCTAGCATGATAACTATACCCGCATCCTACTGTTATAGCATATGCACTAAATGCATATGATGTGACAGTTTCCATACTTCCCCTTCTCACCTGCCCAGTTCTGAGACGTCTCAAAAGTCGTTTCCATACTTCCCCTTCTCACCTGCCCAGCCACCCCTCGTCCACCTACTACTTCTCCCCTTCCACCCCATCCCAACCAACGACATTCCAACCCTCCCAATCCATCTCATGTGCTCACTTGCGGTGCGTCTCTTGAAGGTGAGCTGGCAGGCCTCGTAGCCCCGCCATCCCCTTCTCCTATCCATCTCATGTGCTCACATGCGGTGCGTCTCTGGCGGGAAACGCCATGGCAGGACTGCTGTAAATGGCGAACCCCAACGGTTGGTCGCCCTTGCCCTTGAAGGTGAGCTGGCAGACCTCGTAGCCCCGCCCTCCCCTTCTCCTATCCATCCCACCCCATCCCAACCCACCCCACCCCACTGCATTGCACCCCTGCCTACCTGCAGGGCGTCTCTTGCAGCAAAGGCCATGGCAGGGGTGCTAAAAATCGCAAACCCTAACGGCTGGTCCCCCTTGAAGGTAAGCTGGCTGGCCCCGTAGCCCAGCGACCTTTTTCTCCAATCCCACCCCATCCCAACCCACTGCATCCCACCCCACCGCATTCCACCTCTCTGTCGCACCTGCAGCGCGTCTCTGGCGGCAAAGGCCATCGCAGGAGTGCTGAAAATCGCAAATCCTAGCGGCTGGTCGCCCTTAAAGGTGAGCTGGCAGGCCTCGTAGCCCGGCCACCAGCGCAGCATGTTCTGCACCTCGCGCTCCTTGGCGTCTGGGGGAAAGCCTGTTACGAATATTGTGCGAATCTGCTTGGCGAAATGTTACAAAAGTTTCGCGAAAGGGAGGGGGAGAGTGGGAATGGGGGGGAGAGGGAGCGGGGTGAGTTGGCAGGCCTCGTAGCCCGGCCACCAGCGCAGCATGTTCTGCACCTCGCGCTCCTTGGCGTCTGGGGGGAACCCTGTCACGAAGATCGTGCGAATCTGGTAAGCGAAATGGGCGAAGTGGAAGAAATGGAAACCATGGCGCATGAAAGGGGGGGGGGGGGGGGAGGAGGCGTAGACGAAATCACTTTAGTTTCGAAGGAAGCGGATAAGAACGCTTAAAAAACCGAGAAAGGCGTTTCCGGAAGAAAGGAGAGGCTAGTTTCACGGAAAAATGAACGACGCGGTTCCGGATCAATGGAGACGTAGACAGGGAAGCTATCCCTGAGAACGTAGATCGTAGAACGGTTACCGCGTGAGAGACGGATGAGTGTATAAGATGCGTTAAGGGGGACTGACGCGGATTGTGCCGTCAGACTGACGTCAGCATTGGCGGACGACGACTCTGGGAACCTTGAAGCAGCGGGTTACATTGACCAGTGAACAGAGGATTCGCAATTGACGAGTACTGAGTCGACTCAAAGATCGCCTCATGACAGGCGAGAGTGCGACGACAGGCGATCGGGGAGAAGACGCGAGAGTGCGACGACTCACTCACCTCTTCGCCTTCGGGAGTCATGGGCCACTGGCCGGTGAACAGCGGATTCGCCATTGACGAGATAACGCCCGGATATTGGATGGTCTTGGAGAGTTTCGAGTCACAGTATTTTACAGACGGAAGCCGGGACGCGCGGAAGCGAGGAAGCGCGGAAGCGAGGAAGGAGGAAGACGTGGCGGAGAAGCGGCGGAATGTAAGCAAGACGAGACGCGCTGATGGCACTAGTCCTAATGACCTAGGTAGATTGAAATGTGAAATGGGAACAAGTTTTAGGGCTGTCTTTGTACGCGGTATGGGCTTGCCCTGCGTATATCACTAACTTTGCAGCAGTGCGTATTCCCTCATAGAAGCCCCGTCACCCGAGGTTCTTCATAGATTTATTGGCATATTTTTTCCCAGGGCTACTCTAAGGTATGTAACTGTTTCATATGAAATTTCAATCTTTGACAATACATATTCATAGAGAATGAGTTTTGGGGGTTATTATTGGAGGATGTTTTGTGCACAGCAAAAATCCCATGTACGCGATTGTCAAATGTTATTATAGGTTCTTAGGCTACAGTGAGTAGCACTCTAGGGAGTAAAACCCTTTTAGGGTTGAATACTTGTATCCCATCTTGCTAGTCCCAAATCATTCCGTTGCATTACACTCTTGAGATGGTATCGAGTAGGTTAGATCCTAGCCCACTCCGCGCCCTAGCCTCCGCGCCCGTAGCGCCCTCTGTGCCCGTTGCGCCCTAGCGCCTTAGCGCCCTCCGCGCCCTATCAACCGTCGCGCCCTAGCGCCCTCCACCTCTGCGCGTCAGCGCCTTCCGCGCCCCTAGCCCGCGTTTCCGGCCCGCGCGCCTTAGCGCCCTCTGCGCCCCTAGCCCGCGCCGTCGCGGACCTCCGCGCCTAGCGCCCTCCGCGCCCCTAGCCCGCGCCGTCGCGGACCTCCGCGCCTAGCGCCCTCCGAGCCCCTAGCCCGCGCCGTCGCGGACCTCCGTGCCTAGCCCGCGCCTCCGCGCCTAGCCCGCGCCTCCGCGCCTAGCCCGCGCCTCCGCGCCCTCCGCGCCTCCGCGACTAGCCCGCGCCTCCGCGACTAGCCTGCGCCTCCGCGCCTCCGCGACTAGCCCGCGCCTCCGCGCCTAGCCCGCCACCCTGCGCCCTCCGCGCCTCCGCGACTAGCCCTCGCCTCTACGCCTAGTCCGCGCCTCCACGCCTAGCTCGCCACCTACGCCGCGCCTAGCCAGCGCCTCCGTGCCCACGCCTAGCTTGCGCCCTCACCCAACCCGCCTCCTTACCGTGACGGCGCTACCTCCTAGTCTCCTGAGCACCCACCCGCACTAGGCACGTCGTACATTCCCCTCCACCGCCCAGTTCCCCGAGCCCACGCCGTTCATGGTGCCACTGGTCTTCCGTTCAGCGGCTGGCAGCCGCATTACTCTCCGATCGCCCGATTTAGAACCGTTTAGCGCCTAGCTCCTAACATCTAGCCCCTAGCTCGGTTCTCTCCGTACTTTTCGACTACTCCATCCCTGGCGTTCCTAGCGGTTTCCCAGCTAGCTTAGGTTGCTCCATGCTCCGGCTGTCTCTAGCCTAGCCTCAACCATGGACTCCTCTCGCCGCCTTCGTTTCGATGCGGAGGGTCGTCTCATTGAGTTCGGCACCTGGCTCCGCCAGACTCAGCGCTACCTCACCAGTCAGCGCCAAGACGGCGCCACCCTGTACGCCCACGCGTCCGGCGCCCTCCAGGCACCCCGGCGTCCCGAGCCCCTACCTGCCGTGCCCCCCCCGACTCCGGAGGCGCAGGCGGACTACGATCGTCTCGTCTTGGCGCGTGACGTTTGGGACTCCCGTGACACTGAGGCTGCACTCGCGCTGACACAGCTCCTTCCACCGACAAAGGCCGCTCACTTCGACCAGAGAGAGACTGCGAAGGAGGTTTATGATTCTATTTGTGCACGCTATTCCACCCCGTCCTCTGCCTCACTCAGCCGCATCCTCATGCCGTTCGTGTTTCCCGACCTCGACTCGTTTGCGACTGTCTCCGACCTAGCCACTCACTTGCGTTCCCTTGTCGCTAGCTACCGTGCAACTTGCACTGAGGCTCAGCTTCTTGTTGCTCCCCCCCTTATCTGGCTCACCGTCCACTGGGTAGTCACTCGTCTCCCTGGCTGCCTCTCCACTGCCCGTGACGCGCTTCTCCAGCAGCACCCCAGTGAGCTTACGATTGATCTTCTCGAGACCACTCTCGGGAAGATCGAGAGTAACCTCCTCTCTGTTGCCTCGGCCACTGACGCAGTCGCCCCCCGTCTGTTTGAGGGGTGTGCCATCCCCCAGCTTCCCACCTTCACTGCTACTCGTGCCTCCGCTGCTGTGTCGGTCTCTGAGGACACTGCAGCTGTTTCTGCCACTGACAGGCAGAAACGGGGCAAGGGCGGCAAGAAAGGGGGGAAGGGGGGTGGCAGCGGTGGAGGAGGTGGCGGTGGTTGAGGCGGCGCTGGGGGCGGCAGTGGTGGCAGCGGCGGTGGTGCACCAGGCGGAGGGAACCCTGGAGGAGGTGCTGACCCACCTGCTGGAGGAGGTTCGACCAGCGGTGGTGCGGGGCCCCTGCAGCAGCAGCCACAGCAGCAGCAGCCACAGTAGAGACAGCAGCAGCAGCAGGGACAGCAGCAGTGGCAGGCACCACAGCAGTTTCAGTCGTGGGGACCCCCACTGCAGTGGGGTCCGCAGCAGCACTGGGGCCCTCCGCCACAGTGGGGACCTGGAGGACCCGGGAGCACTGGCCGCACCACCAGCACTACCAGCTGGGCCCCGCGCCCCCCGCGGCGCGACGCCGGCGCCTGCGACCACTTGTGCGTCACCGGACCGGGCAGTCCCTATGTATGCGGCCGCGACGACCACTCTGCGACGCGGTGCTTCCGCCGCCTCGACAACCTCTACCGTGCACGCTGGGGTCCTGAGGCGACCACCCCACGCTGGGCTCGCCTTCTAGCCAGTAAGATTTTTGTATTTGATCTGTCTATGGACGATGCACGTCAGTATACTTTGTATGCTGATGTTGACTATAGTGCTGATGGATCTGTGTGCTCGCATGTTCGTAGTCTAGGATGCTTGCCTCCTGTTAGTGTAGACATGTGCCTCTCTAGTCTAGGTGCTTGTGTTTCTGCTCTAGGTGCTTGTGTAGCCTCCGGACCTGACACGCCTCCGGCTAAGGCGTCCCTGTCTTTCACGCTGGACTCTGGCGCGTCGCAGTGTTTCTTCCTCGACCACATGACCCTCACACCACTCCTTGCTCCGGTTCCGGTAGCTCTGGCTGATAATTCTTCAAGACCAGCCGTTGCGCGCAGCTCCACCACCCTCCCGTGCCCTGTGGTCCCCTCTGGTGTCCTGCGCGGCCTCCACATCCCCTCGTTCACTCGGAAATTGGTGGGTGTTGGATACCTCCAGGACAGGGGGATCACAGTTACCTTTGTGGGGGGTGGGAGGACTGCAGTCTGTACAGACGCTGCTACAGGTGCTGTTCTTGCCACGTTCACCAGGGAGCCTCGCTCAGGTCTCTACGTTCTCCACACCGAGCGCTCCCCGGCTGCTTCCTCCGCTCAGGTCGCTGCGTCCCCTCCGGTCCCAGTGTCTAGTCAGGTTCCTGTGTCTGGTCTGGTAGTGCTGTCTGGTCAGGTTGCTGCGTCTTGCTCCTGTCGGTCCCTAGCCCACCCGATCGTCTTGTGGCACCACCGCCTTGGCCACCTGTCGCTTCCCCGCCTCCGCAGCATGGCCAGTCACAGTCTTGTGTCAGGTCTCCCGCACGTCTTTCCGTCGCTCCCTCCCTCGCTTGCTCCACCTTGCACTCCTTGCGTCTCCGGCCGCCCGCGCGCCACTCCGCACTCCTCCTCCCTTCGTCCAGCCAGTGCTCCCTTCTAGACTCTCCACTTGGACGTCTGGGGCCCTGCCCCTACGCTGGGACCTGAGAGGGAGCGCTACTTTCTAGTGGTCGTTGACGACTAATCCAGGTACACCACGGTGTTTCCTCTCGCGAAGAAGTCCAAGGTGGCTTCTACGCTGATCCAGTGGCTTCTGGTCACTGAGGGCACTCGTGGTAGTCGTGTCCGTTGTCTCCACTCCGACCATGGGGGTGAGTTTCGCTCCGGCGTCCTTGCCGGGTTCTGTGGCAAGCAAGGCATCAGACACTCCTGGACGCTGCCGGAGTCCCCACAGTAGAATGGGGTTGCTGAGCGCCGCATTGGCTTGGTCATGGACATCGCCCGCACGTCCATGATCCATGCCCGTGCGCCCCATTTTCTGTGGCCCTACGCGCTTCGCTACGCCGCGCACCAGCTGAACCTCCAGCCGCGTGTCTCGCGGCCAGAGGTTTCACCGACCAGTCTTTGGACCGGGTCCCCTGGTGTTGGGTCGGTCTGTCGTGTCTGGGGCTGCCTTGCGCTTGTCCGCAACACCTCTGCGGACAAGCTCTCGGCTCGCGCCATCCCCAGTGTCTTCCTTGGTTTCCCGGTTGGCTCTCCCGACTACTCCTTTTACCACCCGCCCCTCCACCAGTTTCTCGACTCTCGTGACCTCCGGGTTGACGAGTCCGTGTCCTACTACACCTGGTACCCCTGTCGAGGTCTCCCGATTCCCTCTCCCCCCCTCTTCCTCGCACCCTCTCCTCCCCCTGCTCCCGCTCCTCCGGTACCCCCGCCCCCCCCTGGTCCTGCCCCGTCAGGTGTGTCTCACGCTACTCCTCCACCCTCAGTCGCGCGTCAGGTAGCGCTAGTTCTGGGGCTCCTCCCCGCAGTCCTCCTCACAGTCCCCACAGCAGCCTTAGGCACTTCCGTGACAGGCTACAGTGGACTCAGGTGGTGTTGGAGCTGGAGGTGCTGGCACTGGTGGCGCTATTTTTGGGGGTGCTGGAGTTGGAGGTTCTGGCACTGAAGGTGCTAATTCGGGGGTGCTGGAGCTGGACGTACTAGCACTTGAGGTGCTAGTTCCGGGGGTGCTAGAGCCGGAGGTGCTGGCGCTGGTGGTGCTAGCTCTGGGGGTGC